TTTGGTGTGGGTCAAACAGTGCCTGTAATAACGCGTCCGTGAAGTCTTCTGCCTCCCCTGATGGTATTGGCAGGGAAGTCGGATCCTCAAATGTGGGCTCAGTCATGCCCTCTCTGATAAAGGGCACCTCTCCGAAGGCAGCATCTGGTCAGTCGGGCTCGTCATCGGAGGCTGAATGATTTTGCTTGCCATTCATCCACGACCGTTAAAGGATGTGGAGGAAAGGAGTCTTCCTCTTCTTCAGATAAGGTAGGATGGACAGTGAGTTTCTCCTTTGCGTCTGTATGTCTGGGGCGCTTTGCTGGCGCTTTCCCTTTATGGTTAAGGGTTTCAGGTCTGTCTCTTTCCAGTACCGTTTGTGAGGTCTGGCTTGCTCAACCCTAGAGGAGTCTGAATCCTCTGATGGGTGAAGAGGTTCGGGCTGGAGTTTCTCTTTGGGCTCCGAGGGCAGCACCCGAGCCAAGGCTTTCTTGACGGAGGCGGCAACTGCCGTATGAATGAGAGCTTGCAGGTTTTGTTCCTAGTTTGTTGTATCCATAGCGATAGCAAGTGTAACCCAAGGGGCAGAATAGGGCACAGACAAAGTGGGCCAATCAGGTCTGTACCAGTGACAGCAATCAATATAGACCAATTTAGAAAACCCATGTGGGTTAGTCTGATAGAATACATAGGGGGCTCACTCCTGTGACGAGCTCTCTGCAGAGCGTAGCAGTGTAATACCACGTCTTGTGTGGTAGTGTATATAAGTGGGAATGCCTCCAATATGGGCAGAGTGGAATGAGGGGTTCACCCCAATACACTGAAAGTCCGCAGACTGTAAATCAATTAGGCTTTGCAAGCAGTATAAATATGACGCCTACCCCCAGGGTATCCCAGCCGGGGTAAAATATCAGTGACACCTTGTGAGGAGAATGGATCTACAATAGCCGTGGTGAAAATGACTAAATGGTCACCTTGCGGTGTTCGGCCACCAGGTGTCCAGGTATAAATATAGTGCCCGCTCGACTCACGGGCTTGAAAAGTAGTTTGCCGAGATATAGCGGGTAAAGGAAGATGGCCGCGTTAGCCAATATGTGTGCGGATTGTGGTCTCCAAGAAAATGGTTGCTGTGAGCTCGCGCAGGCGCACAGGGCTGCAATGGCCGCCTGGATCTTGCGAGCATGTGCGAGATCCAAGATGGCCGCTGCTCGATAGAAGGGGGCCGCCGGAGGCATTCTCCATGGCTCCTAAAAAGCCCAGGAAAATTTGGAGAGGCAAAATGCCTGCTGTGACCCCACGTGACAGAATAAAGAAAAAAATCAGAAACACCTAGGGACAAATAGTAATGCACTTAGAAACTGCCAGAAGGAAATACCAGAGTAAGATAAAAGATGGAAAAATGAAAGTTAAAGAGTATAAGTAGTGACAAAGTCCCAATAGAGCAAGAAAGAAACTGGGAAACCCTAGGAGAGAGTACCATCAAACAAGTAACAATAGGCAGTAATAACTGAAATATAATAAATAATAATAGATAAATGCGGAGCAGCAAAGAAAGAGGAAGTGACATCAGTGGGAGGTTTGTAGCCTGTTACTTTTTTTCTGATTTGGTTTATCCTGTTACTATGTTAAAATATGCTGCTGTGGAACTTAAGTAAAGAGAGACTTCAGCAAAATATGAAGCCTCCTGTCATGTTCTAAAATTGCTGGTCTCTGCACTTGTGAGCTATGCCGGCCGCCCAGCCCCCTCAGCTGGCACACATCCCCCTCAGCACCCAGACCAGGATCATGGCACTCCCCTCCATGGTGGCACCTGGGGCGGATCACCCCTCCTCACCCCCCACTTTAGTACGCCACTACCTACATTCAAACCATTCGTGGGAGTTTGGTTGGATTCTTTCAGATAGTTGCTGTAGTCTGAGGGAAACCTACATGGCTTGTGTGTGAGCCTTGCTAGGTGTGAAAACCCAGGTGTAAGCAGTTCACAATGATAATTTTTCTGATATGGTGAAAAAAACACTCATTGAATGTTCCTTCTAAGAACCTTTTGTGTGTTAGCTCACTGGAAATATTTAAGAAAAGAAGCTGAAATCTGTCTATATAAAAAGTTCTTTCCTGTAATGCGTAGAATCCGTACGGTCCAGGAGATAAGGAATCCCAACCAAGGACCTGTCCTGATTATTTGACTTGCCTCCCTGTGCCACTGAAATTCTATGGGATGTTGCCTGCTTCACTGTCATTGGCTGCCCCTATTGTTTGGTAATGACATTAGTTAGGGTGGCAAATAGGCAGGACAAGTATAGCCCTTAGTAGACAAGCCACACTACTAGGCTGCTAATGTGGCTCTGTTTGGCTATTTGCATTGGGAGTGGATTTGAGAGAACCCCCAGTTGAGGAAGAGGATTGCTGGCCATTAAAGTATGTGGTTCCCTTCCTCAGGCTCATACCGCACCTCCCTTAGTGCAAATTAAAGCAGGGCATGGCCGGCTGGCTCCCTCCCTTTTCTGTTATATAGGCAGGCAGTGCCCAGTATTAGAAGTGGTGCCTTCCTTACTTCAGTGTTAGTAGCTTCTTAGGCCCTGCTTGCCCTGAGCCCAGCACCCAGCCACATCATAGTGACAGGCACCACTGCAGCAACAGGTGTCTGTCACTTAAGCAGTTTGGTCACTGGAAGTTTTTTTAAATTTTAGTTATTTTTTTTTCCTGAGGAGAGAATATTTTATAACTAAATATCTCAATACAGGACTATTTTCAATAATATATATATATTGGTAGAGAATATGTTTATATGCATTATTTAAATCCATGTGTCCAGTCTAGCGCTGCATCAACTTGAAATGTCACCGGCCACCATTGATGGCAAAAAAGATAGGACCGGGTTAACTTTCAATGAGGGAGGGTACTGGGACATTGGGTAGCTATCCCTTTTCCAGTATATTAATTGACGGCACTATGAAAAACTTTTTTTAGATCATACACAGAAAGACTTCAGCCGCTGCACATCCTCCTTGCCCCTTGCTTACTTTCCAAAGAACTCAAGGCGTGTCTACCAGTAGGTTATTTAGAAACGTTCTATTTAGAGTGGACATCTCTTGGAGATCTTAATAAATATGCCTTCACCTATAAGCAGCTGGCATTATGGTCTCTACCTTCCTGTAAAAATTGAATTTAATTCACAGTTTAGTAACTTAGCGTGAAGCTGCCAGAGACTCTCTGGGAAATTAGCCCTGTGTGTGCAACACAAGCCTTCTTCGCAGCAGCCCTAGAAATCAAAGTGTATTCTTTATTCTGGAGTAAATGGCACCTTGAGGCAGCAGACTTAAGCTAGTGTACGAGCGCGGCGATTGAGATCAATGAATCCTTGGCAAAGCTTCTCGCTTTCGACCTTGAACTGTAGACATTGCTCTCGTTGTTAACAGAGATGCTGGGTTTGAATGAGATCTTTAGTCAATGCTACTTTTTAAACGCTTACGACACACAATCCAGTTTGCGTATAACTCTGAGCACTGTAGTAAGCTGTTTTTCTTTGTTTTACTTTTTTTTCTTTGTTAATACTAGTTTTTAACTGTGATGTAGCCAGAATGCCTTGCAGCGTGCATTCCACAACTTAAGAAAAAAATAACACATAAATATCAAACCCCATTCATATCCATAAACCTTTGTTTTCCTGCTGTTAATAAAATCTGTTGCATATTTATTTTATCCGTATCACTAGAAGACTATGTTTATAAATCTGCAACAAATTGAGCTTCAAAAGTTACGATTAACAGATGTGGAGAAATATAAAACATAAATTAAAAAAAAGAGGATTGAAGTGTTGTATGAGAGTTTACCTGGAAACGAATAAAATGAGCAGAGATTGGACCTCCATGAGCTTACATTGCATTCAGTACCAACCCTAAACGTATCTATGGAACATCTAGGGGTTTATTCACTAAACATTGCATTTTACTGAACTGGAAACCCAATTTGCATAAATTAGGCCAAATAGCCACACAGTGATGATAGATTCGTTTTTAGGAGTTTTCCAGTTTAGCACTTTTGGTCTAAACTATGCAGTTCAGTTTTAGTTTTACTACAATTCAGTGTTTAGTGAATAAAACCCCTGTTTGTGCAGCCTGTTCTGTATGCAGATGCAGAATTCATCATCCAACTGCAGCCTAATCAGCGAGTAGACAGGAGTCAGAAATCCCAGCGAATGCATCCCTGCATGCTTCCAATGGCTCTGGGGGGACATGGATCGCACCATGTAGTGAGGGCTCCAGCACTCATAGAATCTGAATATGACTGAGCTATGCTACGATTGACTCTTGTTTGTTTGTCTTTATTTTTGCTTCTACAAATGAAAATGTTTGTGCCACTGTACATTGGCCATAATTCTTTGTAACATATGCTGGTTTACACTAGTCAGCCAACCGGCGGCACAAGTCTCTAGTTCAAATATTCTTGGTGGGTCATGAGCATCTGAGAGTCCATGATTGCTACTGCAATGTAGCATCCTTAAATTTAAAGGGCATGCCGCTATCAAATACATACAGACATTGGAGCTGCTAGTATACTTTGCGTTGAAGCAACTTTATTGCGTGGATAGAATGTAATGTGTCTGTGAAATGTTGTTTACTAAGTGCATTAGGTAATCTAAATGTGCTTCCCTGAGAGCAATTACATTTAAAATCACCTGTTTTCAAGCAGGGGTTCACCTATGAAATACTTTACACTACGAGCGTGTGTGCTCGTTACTGTATGTCAGTTCATGCACAGTATGAGTGTGAGAACACGCTGAGGGGAGTGTCATACCTTGAGAGCACCTAGGTATAGCACAGAGCCACATGCAGAGAGCTGGTGGCACTGCAGCAGCACAGCCCAGGGAGTGCATCTAGTAGCTGGGCTGAGAGAGAGGGCTTTTTTAGCAGAATGTGTCTGCTGCTCTCAGTACAGTGAGCGCTGTGTGCTACTGGCTGTCTGATCTGGAGAGGGCGTGAGCTCCACTGCCAGGGAATGTGGTCAGTAATGAAGCTTTCTCAGTCTGCTCATACATTACTAGGGAACTAGCACACAGCTTCTCTCTCACTCCCAATTATTTCTGAATCGGGGGAAATATGCATTAAACAACACACTGCCGCAGAGGTAAGCCCTCTCTCAGCTTATATCCTTCTGTCCTGCTTTCACCAGGATTACTGCATCTTTGAAAGCCACGCTGTGAGATTGCATGTGATTTATTTTTAAACTTCTGCAATGCTGAAAATGCTCTGCCAATGGGATTAATGAAGATTCCGCTCTGTATAGATTGTAAGCTCCTAGTCACAAAAGAGGCATGGGGATTGCTCTTTTGTGTTCCTCTCTGAGTTTTATGGACTGAACAAAGCGTGGCTGTAGTCCCTTTAAGGAAACCCTGGCTGGAGATCTGTCATTGGTTTGGTGGTATAAATGGACTGCTGGCACAGGGACTTGTTCGGTACTTTACTATAATAGATTTGTTTTTAAGGTTACTGTCCATCATCCCAGCAGATAGCATTGTGTGGTTATTGAATACTTAGCAGCCAAAGAATGCCCTACGGGTGGCATTGCCATCTGGAAATTCAACGGTAAGATATTGGTGTCACATGCAAACAGTGTGTCTACTGTGTGTTACTGGAAGTGGAATAAATGATTTATTAGGAGGTAGCAGCTTATCCACCTTTCCGTCTGTCTGTCCTCCTCTCTGTCTCTAGTTAAAGAGATTGTGCCAAGTATCCTGCTGCAGTGTACAGCCAATGCTTTTTCTGTAGCCTGAGCTGTAATGTGCTCAGCAGAAAGTGTCACTGCTAGTGTGTATTTTGGAAGATTAGGCTCCTGCCGCTGCAGAGCCTTACAAACTGCCAAGGCGCCTTTCTACCTTGTCTAAATGAAGATGAACCCATTCAGTGCCAAATGTGTACCCACTGAGTTCCAAAACCCGCCCCTTCCCTGGCACAGACGATATGGGCAGTATACAGGACCTGTGTATGTGCACTGACAGCTGTAGATGACATATTTGGAAGCCTAGCTAGCTCCCCCTGCCTCCTTTTTCGGAATTGTTCCCCCCCCCCCCTTTCTGTCATCAAAGAAAATTAACCCTTTCCAGTACTTCAAAGCACTTTTAAAATGACTGCATCTAGACACGCAGTCTTTGTTTATTGGTTACCGTTAACCCTCGTATTGCCAAAAGCCAGGAAAAATCACTTTAAAAAAAAAATTTACAACTAAATGAGGCAACAAAGTAGCAATCAATGCTGACACTGCCAAAGAGCCATCACCAAAACCCCTCATTTCTTAAACCAAGGATGCCCAGCCTTTGTTCTTAAGCTGCCACTGGACTACAAGTCATTCTCTTCCAGCCAGAGGATGACAGCGTTTTGGGAAATGTAGTGTAACCACAGCTGGATTCCCAGGATTAGATACTCCTGCCCAAGAACATGTGAAGAATGTAGGGCAGAGTGTAGCCAAAAGGTAGACCAACAGCTGTTGTAGAACTGTAACTTTGTACCTCTTTCATTCTTTGTCAGGATTAATGATGTTGTAAGCAAACTATCATGCAGTGAAGTTTGTATTCTATATCTGTGAAGATTTCATTTTCTGGTTGATTGATTTTGTTGTTCTTTAATTATCATTAGTATAAGCTTTGCTTCGTTGTTTTCTGAGGGTAGTTCTTTAAAGGGTCTGGTGCTGTTAAAGCGCAGCCTGTGGGTTAGAGCAGGGGGCGGGGGAGAGCTTTGCATCAGCTGTAGAGAAAGCAGCTGTGTTTCAGGGAAGTTCCTTTCTAACAAGACACTTTAGGGCATTCCTTTCTCAATGCTCATTCCCTGCTACCGTGAGCCATAGACTGGCTGCACTCAATTAAAACTCATCAGGTGCTTAACTCTTTCATATCCAGCAAGAGACAAAATTACCATCACATTCTAGATGCATGGTCAGCTCTACATAAGGTATGCTGCTGTCACTGTTGCCCCACCAGTTCCAAAAGTCCCAGAGTCTGGTCCCAAAAGGTTAAGCCAGTCAGACGCACACTGAAAAGTATTTTTATACGTTTCTGGAAAAACAATGAAGATCATTTTTGACTGCTACAGAGCGTCTTGCTCCCAACTCCCAGGGTTTTTCTTTTGTTTATTTTTGTGTGTGCCTGTGATAGGGATTTTTAGCGTTGTACACAGGCAGCCATTACTTAAATATTGTGCGTTCCTGACCCTTGCTCTGTGTTAGTCTACCTTGCATCCAGCGTAATGCTCCGTGTCGTGAAAAAGCGAACATTCATTTCTAGACTAACTGATGGCATATAGTGTGCATGCCTGGTTAACTGCCGCGGCACCTGCCTCCCCAGCGTGGAAACGGCAAGATGTCCTAAGTGATAACCCATGAATGAATGTAATACTGTACCAAAAAGATTAACTCTTTGACTGCCATGGATGCGTTGTGCCCATTTAACCCCTTAAGGACACATGACATATGTGACATGTCATGATTCCCTTTTATTCCAAGTTTGGTTCTTAACGGGTTAATCAAAAACATGGTTCAAAATTGCATTTAATGTAGCTCTGCAGCCACAGTTGAACAAAAAGTAATCAGGCTTCACCGTGCCGCACTAATGAATTTGGTGCTGCTCATCATAATAATAATGTTTACGCATAGCTAGGCATAGAATTTAAATGGACTTCAAAGGAATCCAAACCTTTTTTTTTTTTTTGCTTGCAACTGCCCTTGGCAGTGAACTGGTTAATGAATTAAAGTCACTCTTTGCTTTCTTATAATCCAGGATGAGTGGGGACCTCCCCCCCGCCCTCCCTTTGTGTTCCACAACTATATATGAAGGTGAAGAATGGCCAAGGAGCACAGTACACCTCCTGCCAGCTCTACAATGAGAGTGCTACCCATGGCAATTGGTTGTGTATACTGGACGCTATCACTGTAAGACGAGCCCTCAAAGTGAATTCCCACTCGCTGATGGGCAGAGCAGACTTTGTGGTTTTCCAGATTTCCTACAAATACCGCTGCAGTATGGTGTGAGCTTTAACACTTTGTTTACTGGCCAGGCCTAAACATGGTGGTTATAGTTCAATTATTTCTGGAGCAATCACAATAGAAATAATTGTTTCTGCAGATCGCCCTGCTTTATTCCTTTTGCTCCAGTATTGCATTCACCATTCACCCTTTATTTGTCATTTGTTATTGGTGCAAAACTCCAGTAAACGTGCAGAAAAAGGACACACATCTTCGTAATAATCAGCATTTTTCAGGGTCATAAATGCACAAGGAACCACAGCCATGCACAGAGTCAGACACAGCTGCTCAATGGCATCTGAAACTGCAAACTCTGTTTATATTGGACACTTAACGTCACATAAACAAAATAAATTTTGGCTTTATATAGGCCAGCTATTCTAAACTATTCCTCCTTGATAACCTTTTTCTTCCAGACATGAGAGAGAGCTTCTTGGTAGTGCACTGGATTATCAACTCCCCAGACATTTATATTGTTAAATGAGAAGGGATGCTAGGGATGCTAAGTAATTGGGCATTTTGCCGCATTTAGATACACTGCTTGCAATTGACATGTTGATATTTTTAAGAAATGTTATAAGGGGTATTATGGTGCTTTTCACTGTTTTCAGCAGTTAAACCAGTGCTGTGTGATACCTATAGTAGGCTGATATGAGAGGAGACAGATGGCCCCAGTTACAGTTTGGGGACATAGACTAAACAGTGCACAACTGAGATTACAACATCTTCAGTACAACCCAGTGTTTTTTATTTGGTCTAATGTGTGAAATTTACCTGTTCAGTCAACACAATTCACCGCTTAGTGAATACATCCTGATTTTCCTTAATCATTATTAGGTGTGCTGTGCCCAAGTTGACCTGCTGATTAGCATCCTTGAGATATACTGTAATCCCTTGTACAACAATCAAAGATCCAGGACTTGCTAAGTTTTTACAATGTGCATTAACCGACCTCGCAGAGCTGCACTCTTGTTAAGATTTCAGTGAATTTCAGCATATCAAGAGTGGAAATTTCACAGATTTGAATAGATCTGACCTTCCCCACATTGCCGAGGTAATTCTTGCATTGTTTTTGGTAGCAAGCCGACAGTTTGGAATCTTCTGTCATAAAGCATTCATCGAGCCAGCTACTGCCCAAGCTGTGAGTCTTGTGGACTGAGAGCAATATTTTTCCATTCACATTTATTTTTCCTCTCGTTGGTCTCTCTCTAAGAAATGAGGTGTTCTGGGGTTAGCTAATAAACTTAAGGACACGGAGCGGCGTCTGGAACGAGTTGTAATGTGGACATTAGTGTGCAGCCCTTGGGTGTTTTCCCAATTTCTTTTGTTCTATAAATATCATCTATACAGGGGTGTTAGAATATGCCTCCCACAACTCCCATAATGCTCTACCTGTCTGTGACTGCTAGCGAAATGTGAGAGTTGTTTAACATAATTACAATAAGGGGCAAGCTGACTTCTAGGAATGAGAACAGTTTTGAGTGGCTACGGGTCTGCAATTGACCCAAGATTGTCCTGTAGTTTTAAGTGTTCACTGTCCCTGGTTGACCTCTTCGAGAGCTGTCTTGCATCCTAGAGCATGTGCATGGTTTGCTTTTTATTTCATAGAACTTGCATGAGGACAGGATATATTGGATGGGGTTCAAAGGAGACCCTTCCAAGGTGTTTCTCCTTTGTGCAGTGTATAAGAGAGCTGTGAACAGTTTGCACCATAGGCCTAGAAATAATGTTTAAAGATTGATACCAGCATTTTCCTTTGCTTATGTGCAAAAATATACCTAGAGCTGGAGGTCACCCCTCAGTGAAGATATTTCTACTCAGAGTCTTGTGAAAGAAGTTCTCCCTCAAAAAGGAACATTTTCTTGTCTATTTGGACCAGATTACGTTAAATGATTCCTTATTAATGATGTAATTGAATTGCAGTCATCAGAATTGATGGTAAAAAGTGTCAACATATTTTAAATCATTATGTGATATCTACTACAAAATCAAACATTACACAGGCAATCTCAGCTGCTACTATATTTCATGTGAATAGTGGGTACCACCAGTAAGTTAAAGTAACCTCCACGTGAATGTTACAATAGTTGCGTGTAATTTATCTATCGTATTCTGCTGCAATCATATTACCTGCAGTTATCCTCCTGTGCTACGCTGTCTATCCCTGAGCTAGTGAGACAGGTAGTCTGTATGCTGCTGGGGAGCATCATTAAATCCTCCCAGCTCATCCCATGCTTCCCATCTACATCATTCAATGTGCACCTGAGAACAACAAAGACCATAGATAGCCACAATAAGTGTGCCATAAAAACACATGATTTTATATGCAGGAAGCATTTGCTGCTAAACCGGTCAGTATGTGCTTTTGGGGTTCTGTATAAGGAGTAATTCTTTGACAAACTGCTAAAAATGAAGTTTCCATCAGTTCATTTCCGTTGTGAGTGCTGCACTTTCAGAATATGGCCTAGAATTGCTCTTTTTACATACTCCTCATTCCCTATTGGCGTCCTTCCAAAACTGACCCACATTGAAATTATCTGCCAGCTTTCATACAACTCAAACATGAGAAAGTATGTGCTTAACAATTGGTATTTACCTTTGTACACATACTCCCCCTACCCCCTGTCGGTAGTATTTAAACTCCCCTGGAATATATGCTTTCTAGAGAAAACTGATATATTTTTTCAGATTTGGGTTAAAGGAAGAGGTTTAAGTCAGTATTTCCAAAATATACCTTCATTCTGCCCCTCAGCACCTCCTGCTATTATATTACAGTATTCCCTAAACACACAGATTTGTTTTCTGCCCTGAAGCACCTCCTATTCTGTTGCTGAACTTTCTCTTACCCGGCGGCTTAGGAGACCTGTTTCTGCATCTCACACCATGAATGAAGCATTCCCAGCAACATAGTATATTCAATAAGACAGCAATACCCCGCAGAGCTTGCACTTAAACTGTCTACGGAGCAGGAAGATAGGGTCAGTCTGAAGGAAACACTTGGTCAAGGAAGCTAGATTATTTTCCTAGTTAGCCCAGCAGTAAACTCCATGTATATACATAATCTGTGTGCTTATTACAGCTCCCCTTCATAGAAGTAATTCAGTAAATATATAGAGCTCGAGTTCCACATCTGTTTGTCTGGTCTGTGCCTCCCAGACCTTGTCTGCAGTGTCTAGTACAGAGAGCCTTACAGGCACACCGTGTCCCACCGCACTTCCCAAGCAAATTCCCTTCCTTATAGTAAATTGAAACAGTGTTTGTCCCAGTTGTTTTGCTTCCTCCTTGTCTACTGTAAAACCTCAGAGAATTTTACATCTCAAGCTTACTCTAATAGCTGGAGTATGTAACCCCACCTCTCTCCAGCTCATGAATAACCACCACAACGCTCAGGCATCCTGTGTAGCTTTCAAAGGATTCTGGGATTTCTAGCAGAGGTGCTATAGTAATTTCATCAGGCCAGCAGAGCATAATAGGCGTTAGTTCATCACAGCTGGATATAGAAAGTGTATTCTCGTTTTATCGTTATATTAAAGGAACACTATAGGATCAGGAACACAAGCGTGTATACCTGGCCCTATAGTGTTAAAAATACATGTAGATTCCCTGGACCCCCTTATCTTCGTTAAACAATAAGAAAACTTACCTTTTTATTTTCTGTGCCGCCAGGCTCTGCCGGCTAGGTTCTGCCGGCTAGGTTCTGCCCCCAATCCAGCTCCTTGGCTGACATAATCAGAATTGATGAACTCAGCCAATCAGAAGGCTTAGCCATAGGAAAGCATTGGATTATTTGAGATTGTCAGTTCTGATGATCTTAGCCAAGGAGGCGGAGTGGTGAATGGGGCCAAATGCCATCCTAGCCAATTAGCATCTCATCCTAGAGATGCATTGAATCATTGTAGTTCAGCGTCTCCATAGAGAATGTGGAGACACTGAATGGCACTATAACCTCTTCATTGAGATGAAGCAGTTACAGTGCCTACAGTGTCCTTCCTCTTAAGTATATCTATAATTGTAGTGAATTGCACAAAACAAAACAAACAAAAAATGATGAATTTTAAAGCAAAACCTGCAGAATAACAAAGCACCTTTTATAAAAAGACCCTGACGCATGCAGCATGAAGGAGTAATCAAGTTATTTTTTTTTTAATAAAGTTTATTTTATTTTTTTAAATTGCAGTTTGTTTTTGTATGTGCCGTTGTGTGTCTGTGTATCAAGGTGTATCTGTGTGTCAGTGTATATGAATCAATGGCACATAGTAGCACACAGATACACACACCTTGATACATGGTGTGTATCTGAGTGTTTGTGTGCATTTATCTGTGTGTCAAAGTGTGTGTATCTGTATTTGTATATGCCGGTGTGTGTATCTGTGTTTGTATGTGCCAGTGTGTGTATCTGTGTCAGTGTGAATCTGAGTGTGTGTGTGTGTGTGTGTATGTATTGAACATACAGACACACACACACCTTGACACACAGATACACACACTCAGATACACAAACACACACTCAGATGCACACAGTGACAGATACTCACAGGCACATACACACAGTGACACATACACAGTGTCATATACACACACTGACACACACTCAGATACACACACACCAATACACACATACTGACAAACACATACACACCCATACACTCACTGACAAACAGACATACACACACACTCACTGACACAGACACATACCCTTATTTTTAATTATTTTTTAATTTCACTCCACCCCGCCTCCCTACCTTTGGGAGTGCTGGCGTGCAGTCCCTGGGGTCCAGTGGGCCTGCTGGGCTGAGCGGTCGCCGTGCAGTCGGTGAGGGAGCAGTGATCTTCCTGCTCAGCTCCCTCACGCGCCTCTTAGTGATGCCATAGCATCACTCCGGCTACGGCATCACTCTCCCCTGCTCAGCTCCCTCGCCACCTGCCTCAATTATTGCGGTGGCCATTTTGTTTTCCAAAATTTGGGCGGGACCCCAGGGTTTCCACGGAACACCAACTGTGAAACACTGGATTAGATTTTATATCTCTGTGCCAACTACAATTGCAGCAAACACTATTTCTTTTTCTGGGCTTTGTTAACACAAACCCTGGCCCTTGGCAGACAATCTACCAGTCCTGTCCTTTTAGCGCTGACTTGGAAAAAGACTGAAGGTTTTTTTATTTCTTTAAACAGCTATGTAGATTTGTTTTAGTTTGTTTTCAATATCTGTTTTATTTGTACGTTATCCCCAGCCAAATACCTTCTAAGCACTTCTTGATAACCCGGATTTCCAAGGGCCTCCCAATCTCATGTCCTTTACCTGCCGAGGGCCCCTAATGCACCAATTTTTCATGGCCTTTTCCAGTTATGGGTCACTTTATACACCAGTTTTCCATGGCCTGAGATTTTGTATTGAACTCTTCATGCACTCCATTTGGCCCTTTATAAGTATTTTTTTTGTACCTTTTGTATTGATATTTTCTGGAGCGCTGTGGATGCAGATTTATAGGTTCTCCATAGAATTCTAGTTTTCCCCGTTTTGAAGTTTTGTTTTTCTTTTAAATTAACCCAATGATTGCTGGGTGGGGCTCTGCCATCTTCAGCCTAATAGGTTTACATGCTTCACTTATTTAGAAATGTCTATATACTCCCTGTAATAACGTATTTAATGGACACTGAATACATGGAATAATGTTTGTAGTGTTTCCATGGTGATATCAGTGAGGCATTTGGAATACCATGAACAGTAGCGCTCTGTCCTTTTGGGAACTATAAATGGCTGTTAAACCATGATATACCCAGACTGGTTTTAACAGGTTATTTCAGAGATGGTTAATGCTATCTTTAGTGTGTGTGTGTTTATAGTGTGTGTGTGTGTGTGTGTGTTTGTGTGTATATAATATTTGTTCTAAATTACTGTAAATCTCAATTTGAATTTGTTTTCTAAGGAAAATACAGGTTCTGGCTTATGTCAGTAGCCTAGTGTCATCAGCCATGTGACTGCTTCATGCAATGTGATTGTATTACGATAGGGAAGCATTTACTGTTTCATCCATACTCTCTTCATCTACACAATAAAACAGAACCACCTAATACTCTGAAGGAAAACCGTCACTTCCCCTGTCCAATGTTACTTTACTGGTAATCATTGTCAGTCTCTTCTCTTTTCCCGATTGAACCATTGTAATCCCCTATTTCTTCCATGATTTGCCTCTTCCCACTCACATAGTCTTGGAATCTGTTTCTCACCCTCTGATGTCTTTCTCCAGCTGCTACTTCCTAAATGTCAGCTGTGTTCTTTCAATATACACCTGCTCTCCTTTTATCAGCTGAAGCTTCCTTTCCACACTCAGCTCATTACTTTCTCTTTCTCCCTTACCAGGCTTTATTTCTGAAATGTCCCAGTACCCAGCTTATTTTTTAAAACTCATCATCTGAAGAGCCAGATTGTTTGGTGCCCTACAATGATATATTGTCAGAATGGATTTATGAAGCTGTGATGGCTAACTTTGCTACGCCAGATGTTTGTGAACTGCATTTTTATGATACACGCATAGATGGAAGTAAAATATATTGAAACTCCTTTGAGAAAGATCCCAGAGAATGGCATGTAAAGATATGTAAGTGTAAATTGCCATTCTAACACAAAGCGATTCTCAGAGCGGCCCTCTTGTAATATTTGTGAGTAAATACAAAGTTTAGCACATAATTTTAAGGACAGGCATGCTCCGGGGCTTTATGTCAATGCAAGCGTATTGAGAACCAGTTTAATTGTTTGCATTGTCAAAGAAATTAATAAAGCTGCACCTTTGATTATGGGAAGACATTTGTTGTATCAATATATTGTGTTTACATCACACCTTCAGTATGGAAAGGGCATCATGAGGTTGGGGGTGGGGGGCTTATTTTGTTTTCTATTAAGTGGAGATGCCCAGACGTGCCGAGAAACTGAAAGTCAGGGCTAAAGGTGACCCCTCGAGCAATAGACAAGTGTAGAGAAGAGCAATCATTTTGTGATGTTTGGGAAGGGGCCATGATGTAAATTATACCAATAAAGCAAGAATTTACTAGTGGGGGAATTAGCTTATGACACATTGTTAATGCCTGCTGAACGAGGCTGATTTATCCAGGGCTTCCGGCACTGGAAGTGTAGAGCAATAATCATACTTATTATCCAGGTTAAAATGGGATTGCTCTTCTTCACGCTTCTCCTTTCTTCCTCAAACTGCTTATTTAGCTTTAGAGTTCTTTTAAAGACCTTCCTGTCACCCTCCTGTCAGTGGTGTGTTTTTAATTAACACTTTTGGCCAAAATTGCCAGCTAAGGATTTTTAGTTTTTCACACAGCCAAGAACTTGTTGAACTTTGTGAGGTCTGGGTAAGCATGAGAGATAGGACAGGGGTAAAAATCAGGCGGCAATTCGGATGTGTGCTATAATCATAGAACTCTAATAGAGCTCTGGGGCATATTTGATATTTTTTGTTTGTTGAGAATGCTTGGTCTTGAAGTGCAAATTAGGTTTCTGTTTTTACTTGGTTACATTGCAATTCATTTTGATGGTGAATCTTACAGTCGAGTGTTTACTTTTTCACATTTATCAGCCATAGATGTATCTATGTTGAAGATGATTGGTTGAAGCACAAACTGCAATTGCACACTTTATAAAGTTGAAAAAAATTAATGGAACACTCTAGGGTCCGGTACCTTAAATAAGTAAAACATGTACCACTTTTCCAGAGCCGCACGGGTCCGCAGGCACTGCTATGCCTTCTTGGATGACATCATAATCAGAATTGATTATCTCAGCCAATCACAGTGCTCTCCCATAGGAATTCTGATGATCTCAGCCCAGGCGGCGTGGGTACGGTCAAACACCACCCAAGCCAATCAGCATCTCCTCATAGAGATGTATTGATTCAATGCATCTTTATAGGGAGCGTTCAGAATCTTCATGCAAATTGCGGAGACGCTGAACATCTGTGCTGCACAGTGTGCACAGTGTGTAGCACAACCCCAGGAAGCACCTTTAGTGTGACCACTAGAGGTGTTCCTAGGATGTGATGTAAACACTGGCTTTTCTCTGAAAAGACAGTGTTTACAGCAAAAAGCCTGCAGGGACAGACTATAGATACCAGAACAATTACATTAAGCTGTAGTTGTTCTGGTGACGATAGTGCCCCTTTAACCAAGGTAGCCTCAACAAGCTTCAGTAGAAACAGTTCTTATATGAATCATTATAGTGGAAGTAACCAGCTCAGAAAAGTGTGTTCATTGACTAATGCCAGACATAACTGCTAAAACAGAAGCATATTAATATAGAGAATATTTACTGAAATTGGTTAAAGTCCCAGAGAACTAGAATAATTAAGGGTCTATAACAGCGAGTGCCAAATAAATGTTGTTGCAGAGTCCATAAAGGGTCAATATATCTGATAACCATTGATGGTAGAAACTAGTCTAACTGGATTGTCAAGGAGCCGTGGTACTCTAAAGGAGTTATAAAGTTTCTAGTCTCGACTAGATGAAGGCAGGTGAGTGATTCCAGGTTAGACAGATAAGGGCCAGGTAAATCATACAAATTCTAGTGACAGATATAGGAGGATGTCAGACCCTCATCCTAAACAGTGTCCCTGCAATACTGCCTGATGATAGTCATCTTTTTTGAGATGAGCACTTAGTTACTTGCCTTTGGTTTTGTCATCAAATGACATGTGAATAAAAACTCCTTTTGGTCACAGCTCCTTTAAGGGTATGGTCTTCTTTTTCTGGAACTGCAAGGTCAGATAATTGTGGGCCATTGTAGATAACTATCAAATAACTAATCCAGTGTAGTAAGTGTAACCCTTTATTTGGGGGAAATTGGACTAGGTAACGAGTGATCTGCAGCATTTTAATTTGACATGCTCAATCATCAACAGTGACAGCAATCTGCTAGGACCAGGATAACCCTGTAAAGGAGTTACATGCTGTCATCTCCTGGTTGCTAATTGGTCACTGATCCCAACCAACATCCACAGTAGGGCGCTGCTTCTGCGAGTTTTAAGAATTGTTAATTGGGTCGGAATTACTATCTCGAGATATCAAAGTGGTTGCTCTGTCCAGTTCTTCCCAATTTAGTTATTGTGTCCATTGTAACACGTCAATAATGGGCTGTTTGTATGAAGAGCAATTCTAGGGCAAATATTTTAAAGTGATGCTATTGGCAGGAGTAAGCCTTTGGTTACCTTAGAGACTTTCTCCACTCTTCAAAATTGTTCTTTTATATTGCTCAACAGAAGTAAGAAGGTCATATAGATGCTAAATCAAAGATGCCTGATCCTATATGCTTAAATGCCTTTTGCATCATTAACCCTTTCTAGGGCTACAGATCGTGTAGCAGTTTACACAGCTGTGCTTCCAAGCGCCTTCCAGCATTGCAGGGGTTACCATGGAGAGGGGAAGAGGGGTGGGGGGGCGCTCCTTGCTGCTCTGGTTAGCTTGTGAGGAAAAGCTACTGTTTATTATTGGAAAGATTATTGTTTTTCCAGACGAGGAACAGTAATCTCCAGCGTGCAGCCGGGTATGTGAGATGACTGAACGTGAGGCCTTTCTTTTCATTTATACAGGGGTCTTTTGTAGTGACAGGGCTAGCCCTGATCCCAATGGAGTGGGAAGAAGGAGGATATAAGCTAGGAAAGGTATAGGGTTTTACAGACCTCTTAAGGAAAACACTTCCACAAAGTCTATGTTAAGATCTTTGTTAATACCTAAATTCCTCTCTGTTCTTTTTTGCGTTATCGCTTCATCTCCTGGTGTTAATGCCAGTGAACAACCACGTTCCATTAACCCTTCTCCAGCCAGGCACACTAACAGCAGGCTGCAGAGTTTAAATGAATATATTTGTTATATCTATTGAAAGTCAAAAGAATTTCCAAGAAAGATTTTGCAGGAATAACATGTGGTTACCTTCTGAGATTAGAGTGAAGGAGATTTCTCCATCAACAAAGGAAATCTCTCTTTGGCCGTTCAAGATGTGGAAACCGCTGCGGAGGGGGATGTGATGGCTGATACACTGGAAACCTTTAATAAATATATGTATTCTAGTGAACTATATAGGATTGACATTTAGATATAAGAAAGGAGACTGGCTTTTGGGACATTAGATGATAAAATTTCGAATCAGGGAGGTTTATATGTAATCCAGATTATAGCAATCAAGCATTTTAATAGAACAGGGGTAATTTTAACATGTTTTTTGGGGTCGAACATATTCGCCAAAGTGTAAAAATTTGCCAACTCCACTAATTTTCCTGGTTAGTTTTTGCAACCTATAATGTGCAATGCTCGAGTTATTGATTAAAGCCCACATAATTTACATTAAAGGCACACTGTAGTCACCAACACAACTTTAGCGTAATAAAGTAGTTTTGATGTATAGATTATACCTCTACAGTCTCACTGCTCAATTCTCTGCTATTTAGGAGTTATATCTCTTATTTATCCAGCCCTAGCCACACCTTCCTGCATGTGACTTAAACAGCCATCCTAAACACTTCCTGTAAAGAGAGATCTAATGTTTAAACTTCCTGTATTGCATAATCTGTGTAATTTAGTATCTCCTGCACTGTTAATAGCCTGCTAGACCTCGCAGTAGCCTCCTATCTGTGATTATAGTTAATTTTACAGAGCAGGAGATAAAAATCCTAAAGCAGGTTAAAATTGATTGAAAAGGAAAGCTTTTTTTTTTTCCATGCAGGCTATGTCAGTCAGAGCCAGAAGAGGTGTGGCTAGGGCTGCATAAATAAAAGCAAAAGTGATATAAATCCTAAATGGCAGAGAATTGAGTAGTGAGCATTCAAAGGCACAATCTATGCACTAAAACAGTTTCATTAAGATAAAGTTGTTTTGGTGACTATATACCAATTGTCACTTGGCAAGCATATAAACTCTCCTGAAACTACTAATGGGTAGAAATTCTTACAGCCACACAAAAAGCAATTCAACAAAAGGAGGAGAGCCAGGTCTGAACATCCTTGAGAACTGAAAGCTTTGGAATTATTAGGAATTTATCGTTTTCGTTAGGTTAGTCGTGCTTTTGGGTGTTAATAACATCATGCTGTGCACAGGACAGTGTGGCGCAAGCAAGCTTGTTTATTGGAATGTAACTTTCATCATCCTTAGCCAACCTAAGGTAGTTGAAGTTGTAACATAATAACATTTTTAACAGGGATGACTTTCAATGAACAAGACCGTGTCTTACTTTATCTTCCATAGAAAGTGGGACCAGGGCCATTAACTCTCATTAACTCTCTCAGATTCTCCAGTTGTCTGTCCTCCCCCTGATGTGACTCAGGGGGTAGTTAAGCTGAAATAGAACCCACTGCTATGATGTAATAGAAAAGCTATGAACCGCAGCTACTAAAAAAGAAAAAAAGAAAGACATTCAGGGCATAAATTTGTCCCCCCCCCCCGAAAGGCAAGCTGAGTTAACAGTAATAATTCCATATTTTCCTTTATTTTTCCACTAGAATGTGTCCAGCATTTATTAAAGCAGGTTAGCATTTCCTAGTAAGGAATTCTCTGAGGTTAACCCTTTCCTAAGCACTCCTGGAATCCCTGATAGCTAGTTGCCAATGTTTATCTGTTGGATTTGAGTTTAGGTCAAACCTCACAGTGTCATTTAGAAGCTTCTGTATAATTGAAAGTGAATTGACCGAGGAAAAAAACTAAAGGAGGGGATAAGGTTGTGTTAATGTGCCCAAAACAGACATACTGTAACTTCTATGTGTTGTACCCTATTTATACCAGGAGATGGTAGGCTTTGGACCTCTACAGACTCCTGGCACTCAAAGAGTTTAGATTATACATGCTAGGTTCACAGGATGTGTTTTAGTCTTTCTAGTGTCACGGAAAGCTGTTTAGCATGTAACAGATGTATGGCAGTGCCGGTACCACTCTACTGTCAGGCTATATTTAGCTCCATGCAGCTGCTGTCCATCTTGCGCCCCATTTCCCCTCCGAGGATTGAAGATCTGATGTTACACCGCAATCTGTATAAGATCTCCAATGTCTGGGAAGTGGCTTGTTTCCAAAACACCAGCCGTCGGCCAGTGGTTCCATCTATAGAAATTAGAATATATAATGACATATTTTCTTGTATGTGGGTTGTTTGGGTTTTAGCCAGAGCCTGCTGCCTCATGACCACAGGCCACTGATATTTATATTTAACAAAGAAGTCACTGACTAGCTGCATTTTTTGGTAGAAAGAGGACTACAATGTCCCTAAATCCTGGCCCAAAACCGTTGGCTTTACACATGGTTAAATGTATACACTGATTACCTGTACTGACCCTGGACTTTAATACAGAAACGATCTATTGATAGAGTGCCCATATCAGCTTTGTATATTGCATATTTAATAAACTTTGCCAAGTAAAAAGACAGTACTGTTACCATATCTATAGGCTAAAAGATCAAACAAAGAAATATGTCTGCTACTTATAACACAAATTGTTCCATTAAATGAGTTTTATCTAAAGGGACCGACCATTTTTGATTTACCAGATTGTATCTCAATTAACTAGTCTGGGTGCTGTGTGTGCCCCCAATTTTAACTTCTGCAGGAATGGCAGTGTTCTTTTTGCTGGGTTATTCTGTGTGCTTCCGTGAAATAGTGGAGAAAAACCCTATGACCATCTGATTGGTGTTTTGCCATGTGCACTAGCCTCCCAATGCTGAGCTATGGGAAAGCATCTGATTCGCTGAGATCATAGATCTCGATGATTTCAGGCAAAAAGGTGTGGCAAGTCATGGAAAGAGCGGCGTGGGAAACAACATAAGTTAACCTAAACAGTGACTATGTAATATTCTGCACAGATCGCTGGTATATATGGAAGCAGAATACTTACATGTCCTAGTTCTAGACATTTTCATTCACACATCACCTATTTATATTTTATCAGGTAACATTATTTTACACAGACCTTGGCTACATAAATTAAGGTAGCTCATTTGGTTAATGCACCAACTATAGAGACTGGTAAATATGTACACTCATAAAATATGCGTTGCTGAGATCATGAATTGTAGCTACTTTCCGAAAAACTCGAAATGTAAGAAAAAATATATTGTATGATTACCATTTGATGAGTTTGATCACTTCCTAAGGGCAATAGCCAGGGATAGGTTTCTGATATCTCAAACTAGGCATTAAGCTGGAGAATACATCAGCCATCCAGTAGCCAGTCTGAGTCCTTTTAATCCACATGGACTCACAGTGCTAATAGCTTCACATACCTTGTAAGTTAAATCATCCCGAACACCAGACATGACCTTGGAGGCTACCAAATAATACTAACATCCAGCCACCCTGGGATTGAAGAGGTGGATTGTTAAGAGCTACAGATGTTTGATGAGGCATACCTGAGATGTGCTGCGCACTTTATTTTAATAGGTACTATAAATGGTATAGGATCAACTCGCAGACACACACTAAAATTAAAACATCTTGAGGAGGGTTTTCAAACCTCCCCGTCCCAATTCAGGTCTGTTATTGCCAGCTTTCATGTGGTTTTCCTAAAAGCTGCGTCTTTACATCAAACCCAAATTAGTATCTCAAAGGCCTGCAGGCTCCGAACTCAAATCTTAGAGGATAATGCTTGGCTTGCGTTTTTTTCTTTTCTATTCTCCTTTGTGGGGTGCCTGTGAAGTTAGCTGAAGAAAGAAAAATTTCCCAAATCACCGACTGGGATAAATCAACAAAGACGCCAGTTCATTCATTCATGAGAAAATGTGGGCACAAGATGCTTGTTGGTAGAACCCATCTTCCAATGCTGTCTAAATAAATCTGGTTGTTGACATGAGTGCATTAATCTGAATTTCCACTGCTGAGAGGGAGGATATGGTATTCCATTTCTATTACTATTCTAATCTCTAACATGTTAGCTGTGCTAGCTGTTTACCATTAATTTTAACCATATACCCGCATTGTTAAACCAAGTTTATCATCTGAAAGAAACCAGAATGAATCAGCACTGAGTAAAGACTGTCTGTTGTGTAAGTTTTGTAAAGGTTTTAGCAGTGTTAAAGATCTGTATATGAGACCATAGAGCAGGCTAAAGTATATGGAGTATGTAGAAGAGGGCTATGGCATCTGGCCAAAGCTTTCCTTTAATAGTGCTGGACCATCATGGACTACATTCTTCCAAGCATGTCCTCTGCCCCAAAGGTAAACCTCCTTGTGAGGGATACCAGTAGATCATTATTTTTTTTAATGCATTTGGCCTCTCACCTCTTTGTTACTCTTGTGACCTGCCTCTTCATCCTGACTGAAAGGTTTCAGCTCTGCTCTTATTAGTTCTTTTAACTGGTTGTAGGACTGGTGTAAGGCTCTGGTTTTCAGAATGTGAGTAGGAAATTTACAATGCTTTAAATGACCACTATAGTGCCAGGAAAACGAACTAATTTTCCTGGCACTATAGTATTAATAAGTCCCCCCCACCCCCCTGCTGGGCTGAAGGGGGAGGAAGGGGTTAAACACTTACCTTTCTCCAGCGCTGGGGACTCTTTTCCTCCTTCAGTCGTCATCAGCTGAATGCGCATGCGCGGTAAGAGCCGCGCGTGCATTCAGTCAGTCCATAGGAAAGCATTCTCAATGCAGGGTTAACCCTAGATGGACCTGGCATCCAGACCACTTCATTAAGCTGAAGTGGTCTGGGTGCCTATAATGTATAAAATTAATGTTTATTCAAGTATAAAAAAAAATGATATTATTTGTGCACATTTGCTAAATTAGATTTGGTTTCGTAACTTTGAATTCTGAATAATAGACATGGAATTTTTAAATTTTTTAGGGCAATATTACCAGACTTCAACATTGAAATATACAATTCTATTGTCAATTCTCCATGTTCCATGTTGTGTTAGTGACTAGCCCCAAAAGATCCTTAACAGGCATACTAAGGTAAAACTACTTTCTAAGCGACTCAGGATTCCTACTGGGCACATCGTCTTGGGTAATATTACTCAAGATGGCACCTGACAGTCATTGGAAACATCTAAACCAGCTGAGAATGTCTATCGCCATCTTCTTGTTCCATGCCAAAGATAATTATACGCAGCCAGCCTGCCCATTTTACTTGTAATTATGTTAATGATTTCAGTGAGTGGATTTAGCATAAACCTTTAATTAGTTTTTGCTGGGTAAGATTCCCGGTAGCCACACTGTTGGTCAGGCATGGCCAGTTAGGCACATGCTGCTGCATGTGTGTCTTGGGAATAAACATAAAGGACACCTTAAAGGATCACTATAGGGTCAGGAACACAAACATGTATTCCTGACCCTAGAGTGTTAAAACCACCATCTAGCCCCCTTGGGCCCCTCATGCCTCCATAAGTATAGCAACATTTTACTGTATTCAAGCCTGAAGCTGTAACTCTGCATGCTGTTAGACTCAGAAAAACAAGCAGTCTGCTGACATCATCAGAAGTGGTAGCCTGATCCAATCACAGAGCTTCCCCATAGGATTGGCTGAGACTGACAAAGAGGCAGATCAGGGGCAGAGCCAGCACGATTCAAACACAGCCCTGGCCAATCAGCATCTCCTCATAGAGATTAATTAAATCAATGAATCTCTATGAGGAAAGTACAGTGTCTGCATGCAGAGGGAGGAGACACTGAATGTTTGGATGCATTTTAGGCAGCCATGACCCAGGAAGGATCTCTAACAGCTATCTGAGGAGTGGCCAGTGAAGTTATCACTAGGCTGTAATGTAAACACTGCATTTTCTCTGAAAAGACAGTGTTTACAGCAAAAAGCCTGAAGGGAATGATTCTACTCACCAGAACAAATTCAATAAGCTGTAGTTGTTCTGGTGACTATAGTGTCCCTGTAATAGATTTGTAGCAAAAGACTAGTCATGTTATCCTTGCTGTGCAAAGTGTGCGGTGTAGTCTCTACTGAGCCTCTTGTCCAATGGAACAAAGGCATCGCTAGGGGGCGGCTGACGTGGGCTAAATCCCCATGTCTGATTTTAGCACCCTGTTGTTAGCCCATTGTCTCCTAGAAGTTAAGTAATGTGTGCTATATACTGAAGCCAACTGTTCTCAGGCAGGGATTTATTTACAATCTGAGTTATAAAGTAATGACGTTAAAATACCTTTCAAAATCTATCTGTCGTTCTGTCTATCTATCCTCTGGTGCATGGAAGCTTTAGGCTGAGATCTAGTGCATAGAGCACATGGAATAAAAACTGTAACGTACAGTGAGCTAAGATTTATCATTCCCTTTCAACATCTGCCTTCTACACCATCCCGCATGCTGACATATTTTATCATAAAGTAGCCAGAGCCGTTTTCTTTCCTCCTGAAATATGTCTGGGAAAGTTGCATCACATTTAGAGGTGAGTGCTATGTTTATTTTAAGGCCAGGATTCTGTTCTGATGAGCTCAGTTTGAATGTGTTTTCCTTTCTTTTTATCAGTTAGAATGACGTTTAGGATTTTGCTTATTTCTCTATCTGGGATCATGTAACCCTATTCACTAACCAGATATTTTAGTGAGCTTGAGCTGGCAAACAAAGTAGGGCTTATTCTCAGCAGAATCTATGAGATTTATTAAAATGTTAACCATTTTGACCAAAAATTGAATTTTTTTACTAGCTAATTTGGAAACATTTTACAGTTCTATTTTTCCGGCTTGATTATTTTTGCCTAACGTTTAAAATGTCCTTGTAAGTTCTTTGACAGTGATTAGTTTAAGAAATAAACCCTCATTTTGCAAGTTTATTGTTATCTCACGACAATTCACTCACTGCTTATTGAGCATACCTGACTTACAGCCCTTTTAAGGTTTGGCTTTTTTGACTATAAAGGAACACTATAGCTTTAGGAATACAAATCTGCATTTGTAACCCTATAGTGCTCCTGTCCCTGTTTGTAGGCATATAACGAAAAATGAAAATATTTACTCACCCAGTTCCAGCGAAAGGGCTCTCTTGGCGTTGCTCAGCTCTCCTACTGGGTTATGTCATGGAGGACCCCCATCCAATGCTTCTCAAAGAGGAGAATTGGGGACCTAATGTGCATGGAGCTGCACACGCATCCAAACTTTCCTGTAGGGAAGCATTGAATCAGTGCTTCATCACATGGCCCAGTGGCTGTCATACTGGGAATTACCCTGCTGTGTAAACATTGCAGGGTTAAGACGACAGGGGAATTGGTCTGGGTGACAGTAGTGAAATTCACCTTGAATATAAATAACCAGTATGAGTATTAGTTATTGGTTAACCAGAGTGGAATACAGTTGATGGGAACATAATAAATAGATATTAAAAGTGAGACATACTTTGACTGCTAGTTTTAACACAAATTAGAAGATGTAACTCTAGAGATTATGGAATCTTAGCTTGTTCGTGTCAGTTTGGGTAAAACGTTTTACATTGAATTCCAGTTTACCCAATTGTTGAGAGCTGTGAAAAACGTATTTCTTAGTTCAACTGCTTTTTTTGTTCTGCATAATTCTAGGAGATCTGGTATTGGGGCAATGCCGGGAAAAGGATTTTCTATTTTGCACCCTTGAAATCCCAAAGATAGCTAAAAGACTATGATTGCATCTCTCACTTAGGCCTTTTTCCACGGGCTGAAAGATGGCTTCAATCAGAATGGAGATGATGTACCTTACCACAAATATACTGTGCTTGAAGCACAGCTTCTGATTGCTAGACACCGAGAAAGCACAAATAAACAGAAGCCTGTTTTACAGCCGCCACAGACTGTTATAGATAGTGCTGCTGATCTGAAATGTCAGGGTACATTAACAGTACAGAAAAGCTCTGTAGATCTTGGCAGAAAGACAACACAATGAAACCATTACCTTTCAAAGCTGACTCATCTTGGCCAGTGCCTAGGACAACCCAGGTGCCCAAACCTTCAGTAAATCCTGGCACCTGATTGGTCGTTTCGGGAGAATAATGCAACATTCTTGAAAAGAAACAAAAATCTAGCCAGAATGAATATAACTATAACCATGTGAGTGTGTGCTGGAAGGGGAACGCAGGTACACTGTCAGGGATGCTTTTAAATAGAGGGGAATCACTAGAGACAGTAGTAATTTAATGAATACCTCAGAACATTCCAAATGGACAAAGAGGGTATGCTTCATTTTAGGGAGAGAGTGGGGTGTGACCAGGGGCGGGGCTATTCTGAGAAATTATAGGTGAGTTACTAATAACAATTTATAGAACTAAAATATGATTTAGAACAAGAACAATGTATCTTATTTACACAGACTGATTTCTAAACACATTTATTGTGGTTTAAAGACACATTACTGTGAGTATTATTGCTGTGGAACTCTGTTAAACTCTCAGACACACCATCAATATGGAGCCCCCAGAAAAGAGGGACATTAGGATAGAAAATATGGGATTTGGGCCCAAAATAAGGACGGTCCTTCAAACATAGGGACGCTTGGGATGTATGGTTTATGTAGGATAGAGTAGTTAATGAAAAATATGCCAGTTGTTGCACTTGTGAGTAATTCCCTCTGCAAATCGCGTTTTGGCGTGTGTGAGTCATAATACGTAATAGAGGATACGAATAAGTACGCCTTGGATTTCAGACGATTGGCTTTGAAGAACAACACACACCTATGCTGGCTCACCAACTTTCCATATACTAATTCCTGCCCAATTTATTTTTTGCTGCTTCGAGGGATCTAGGATACGTCCTTTTAGACACAAAGGCTTGGCAGAATCTCACGTGGAGTCGGCACTTAACTTCACTTCCACTCCTTGGAACATGAGGCCATGGATTTTATTGCGGTTTTAAAGGCAGATGCAGACTAGCGTCCTTTAACCCTCTGACCAGATTTTGCAGCAGATACTGGTATAAGTTTACTCACCCCGCGATTTACACAGGCTCACATTTATTTATGTTTCTTTGCATGGCTATCCCACGATTTTCCCGTTCACAGTAGCCCTGCTGGCAAAGAAAATACTTTTTGCCAAATTTGAGAAAATTAAGCGGTAAGGGGTTGAACTACAATGACCAAATCTTGGTAAAGAGTGCCTCCCCCTCCATCAATGCAGTTAAAATATATAGTACTCTAACTGTAGTAAGTGCATGACTATTTCTCTAAAAAAAATACATGCTTAAAGGCTAGCGTGTATGACATGCAAAACATACCAGTGAGTCAGAATAGAAACGAAGAATTGTTCTCGTTGTAACTGTGCTGGAATATTTCATAAAGTTTAAATGTTCTGATTTATCTCATGGCTCTGTTTAAACTTATTTACAAATGCCTCATTCTAAAATCAACAACTCAATGTGAATTGACATAAGTATATGGATACTGCACCAATCAGTATTACCATATAATAGTGTAATCATTTATTATGCAGGCATTTTTATCATAAACGGTGGAATTAGCATATAGATGTCATTGAAATTATGATAACTATGGGGAAATATCAGGTAATATGTATTGTGGAACTGGCATTCAGAGGCTTATTTTGCCCATTTAGTTGGACATTGACGTGTGTTAGAAGTACAGATCATCTGATCGCAATATATTTATATAAGAGATGAAACCAGTAGACTTTCAGTCTGTAAACATGATCTCCCAGGGCTGAATATCTCTGACAATCTGACAATTTACTGGGCTTGTTGGCAGTTCCTGAGAATTTCCTTGTGTGATATGCCATCTTCACAATCTCTTTTAGTTTGATAGATGGACGAAAATAATTAATTTATTATGAAGTGTCTGTCCAGAGCCAAATATATATATTTTTTAATAGAACATGTGAAGTCATCGTTTCAGGGTACTGGGCTCTTTGTCCAGCTCTTCATTTTAACAAAAATCTAAGAGATCAAGTAATGTGCCAGTGTTTCCTGAGCTCACAAGAGAAATATTTGATACGTTTGGGACTGCTTCCTTTGTTTCTGTGATATATAGATGCAGAATAAGTTTATATCTTCTTACTGGGGAGATTCCCAACAGTAGCCTATATTAGGTGAAGTTTGTACCGTTCCCTGATCCTTCACCAAATCCCCTTCAGCTGCCTCGGTAGATTTGTAACAGTATAACTGGCATCTGTTTTTTATACGGAGTGTGTTTTAGTAAGCGTCTGCTTTCTCCAGAATTATGCACCCGGGATTTAAGCTCATTAATACCTACTTCTCACTTACACTGTTCCTCCCATATCGGCTAAGTGTTTTTGCCTCATTGACTGCAAGGGATGAAGAGTCAAAGTTCCTTATTATCCTGCTACAGCAGTATCTGCTGCTTGTTATAAAACTGTAAATAAGTCACAGTTTGGAGCAGCTATTACAATGAGACTGTTACACATTAATTTTACTCTTGCTTGGTGTTCTATAAGGGCTCAGTTGCATCCTATCTTTAACAAGCCATGCCATTCTTTTACAATGATTCCCCCATGTGTTTTAGACATTTTAGCTTCTCCGGTCACTTAAAGGAACATTATAGACACCATAACCACTACAGTGTATTTTAGAATGGTTTGACTTACTACCTGGTCTTCGCTGGGCACAGCCACTCTGTGAGATGAAGTCCCTGCTTAGGAGCTTCCATTAGTTCTCAGTCAGAGCTAAGCCCTGCAATGCAATGAGCTGAGACCTGCCTGTCAAGCTTAGCTGAGACGGAGAGATCCTGGCTGTCTTATGGTTGTAGAGGAGGCGGGGAGCAGTACCTGACAGATCTCTGGTAGGACGTCATATCGTTCTCAAATGGTTTTAAAACTTACAGAGTAGGGGTTTCAGGGCACTTGGAGTGTTCCTTTATTTAACATATTGTTAAACTTATTATCAAGTCAACATTGTATAGACAATAGTTCATCAGTCATAGAATGCATTTGTAAATTTTCCCTTATACAAGGATGCAAATAAGTCAAGAATAATCTTCTTAAAGGGTAGAGGTGGGTTCATTTGGTACCTAAAACTTTGCATCCTCGTGATGAATTGTTGGTTAATGAGTGATTATACTCCTACAAGTCTCTAAGCCTGTCTAATCCTGTAAGCCTAAACCATGATCCTATGATCCCTTGAGACTACTTGCCTAATGTTAAGATTACATTTTTAAAATCATCAAAGTGGAGTGGTAAAAAGTCAACATATGTCTTATTAGGTCCCCACTTTCTGTCGATGCCTGTTCAGGGAAGATATATGGAATATATAAAGAAAGCAATATTAGTGTAGCTCAAACAGAACAGAACCTATCTCCACTTTAGTTCAAGAGTCTCAAAATGTAAATGAACGAGATAATAATATCGCTGTTCTCAGAAAAATGGAATTAGGTTTTTGAAGGAACCCCAAATGAAGTCATGATTATGAGTTGCGACCCTATAGCATTAACTGTCTTCCACTTGGAGAAAAAACTGTAGCAGTAATAAGGAGACTGCTGCTCACTTGCCTGGCAGAAGATCTTGCACTGGCTCAGTGTACAGCGACGCTCACCAGATGGAGGGTCAGAGGAGGGATGGTGCCTTTAATTGTAAGGCATGGGAAGCCCTCTCCTTGCATTCATGATATTTGTACAGATGTTTTTTTTTTTTTTTTTTTAAATCAAGTGGAAGAATTGGAGTAAACGACTGAGCAATTATTTGTCTTTATTTTCCTCTCCTTATCTTACCTTACCATGTTAAAGACAATTTGCTTTGTGGTTTTAATATGTGTAATGCAGTTGAGTTGTATAAATATTATTTGGCAATAGTCCGATATTAGCCTAATTCTGAATGCAGGCACAGAACCCATTTTCCTTAGCAACAGACGTGTGGCATACATTCCCAATCAAAACATTGGGACAGTTTTGTATAAGATTTATTTAAGTCTACTGTTGCTTGCTTGTCTTTGTGAAACTTGAAATTTATATATAATCTACAATAAAACTAGTGAACGCCAAGTAATAATGATAAAATACATATGACATTACCCTAAAACCTGTTTGAAGCACGAGCAATGGATTGAATCAGCCATTCAATACATATTTCTATAGCTTCCTTCCAGGTATATAGCTCAGACCACTTCATCTCAATGCCCTTTAGTTTTAACCCTGGAATGATGTTTTGTAGAAACTGCAATGTTTCCATTGCACAGTTAACACACCTCTAATGGCAGAACTTAGATTAGAGCAGCATTTAATTGGCAGGGCAATATGCTTCCCTGTGATGGAAGTTTTGGATTGGTTGAGATCATCAAGGTTGACCCCTAAACCACTACAGCAGGCATGTCAAACTCAAAGGCTAGCACGGGCCAAATAAACACATTTTATAAATATTTTATTTTGAAAAGTACAGTCTAAAAAAAAAACCAGCACCCTCCTCTACTAAACCCCAGCCCCCCCTCTACTAAATCTCAGCACCCTGTTTAAAAAAACAAACAAAAAACATTATTAGCCAACAAGCAGACTCCATTCACATTGCCGCTGTCAGTATACGACTCCAGAGTCCAGCCTCTGGTATACCCCCAATTGCGCCGCTGCACCCTGTGCCAAAGCGGATCCTCCCGTTATTCCTTGAAACGCTGTAAAGGTGGAGCATGTTGACGTCACGTCTGAATGTGACATGGCGTTGCGTGCCTCCGAGCACCTCCAGGTCCTCCACTATCCAGCCGCGGCCATCACAACACTGACCAACACACACCCTCACTCACTGACAGACACACACTTACTGATAGACACACACACACTCACTGACAGACACACACTTACTGATAGACACACACACACACTCACAGACAGACACACTCACTGACAGACAGACACGAACACACTGACACACACACACACTGACAGATACACAGACATATTTACGTGCACAGTTTAGTGATGCTGGGACGGAATGACGTCTTATTACAGCACCCGCCATCACCACAGAGAGCACGCGTGAGGGAGCAGTGAGGAGCAGGAAGAATAGACTAAGCTCCCTTGCTGCCACTAGCGATATCTCCTCCCGGCCAGTTAAATTTTAGCAGAGTAGGCACCTGTAATGTGGGGAGAGCAGGTGCCTACTGTGCCTTAATATGTCAAACTCGTGGCTCACTGGGCCGCAAAGATATTCATTGTGGGCCGCGAGCTTGACATGCTTGCTCTACAGCAATACTAAAGTGTTAGGAATGCATTTTTGTATTCTAAAGCTATAATGTCCCTTTATGTAATGGTAAGGTCTTCTTCAACATATGTCCCTCTTTTGTCAATTTTTATAACAACATCCCAAGTAGAGATGGTTAATTAGCCTATAGTGCTAGATTAACCCTACTCCAAGTTTATTGGTGGCTGACCTAAGGCACCTACAAGATACACAGCAGGGGCAGTACTTCAAACTGGAAAATAAAAATATCATAGAAAAAGTGAAGGTAAAATGCCCTACAAGTATTCGAATGGTTTCAAGATTTGATATGTGACTGTTGTATGTACTTACCTGCTCCCTACAGCATTAATAGAGTAGAGTATTACAATCACCTCTTGCATAGCTTTAATGAAACACATTGGCTGATTCTCCCAACCATTGGATGCTGCCCATATCTGGGCAGAAATGGATATTGCTAATGCAAAAATGGAACGTTAAAAGTAGTAGGGTGCCACGCAAGGGATGGGGCTATGGGATACCCTCTATTTGTGTCAAACCACTGAAAAGGTTTGACACAGAATGGGGGACCAGCACCAGGGTCATGTCTCATGGCTCAGATCTCATTTTTCTCATCTTTGTCAAAGTACCATGATAAACATCACCATGGTACTCAACTACTGGTATCAGCAATTCGGAGCTTGATATTGTCAACTAGCAAGGCTGTATTCGGAGAGTGTGCACGTGGTGATTCTTCCATAGTATCTACTCATAGGATTTAAACCCAATTTACTAATGTTGCAAACAAGGAAGCCTTACAGTTTTAGCATTCAAATGTTAATATTCAGATTCTACTAATAAAGTACTATGTTTTACCTCTAAGTAACACTCCCTAGCCCCTCACAACTTTGGACGTACTTTGGCAATGTAACCATAATAATGGCTGTCCTGCCAAACTGCAGTAAAGAAACAAAATTTCTTTAAACGTACGGTATTTGCGTATCCGGAATTAAAAAAGAGATGGATTTTTTTGTCTTTTTTGTTCATGCCCAAATGACTTTTCACAGCTCAGGTGAAAGGGACATTCATCTCGTATACAACAATTTTCCAATGGTAGCCAGTCTCTTCAAAGCCATCTGTATATCCGCAGAGGATATTTAACAAGTCTGTTTATAGGATTTACAGTGGAATATAGATCCACCTGTTCTACTTTATAGACTTGGAGCGATCGCTTAAATATTAACCCCTTGTAGACAGTGGTCATGTGAAAAAAAGGTTTGATTACCAATTATTTATGTGTGAAAACAATGAAAATCCAGTTAGAAGAATTTTCCATTATTTCATTGCTTCATTCCCATCAAAATTACTCTATTTGCTCATATACGTAGACATTCGGAAATGCCATTTTTTTCCGGCTTGCCAGTAGTCTAAGGTTTCAGTGGAATGTAAATGGAAGCAAATGGTTTAGAGGAAATGACATTTGCAGGGCTGTTTAACCCCTTGGTATTTAATCTTCCTTTTTTTTTATCTATACCCTAATAAAACCTCTATGAATTTGATTAAAATATTGATAGCAGAATTCTCTTAAAAATGTCACCTTGCTGATTGCTGCCAACGCTATAAAGATTGCTGCCAACGCTATTGCTTTTTGGTCTAGCCACTGCAGATATATAATGCTGTAGAGTGGAACTGTTATATGACAAATTGTGAAAAGGGAAGTACAAGAAAAGGTAATCAATGATGCTTGAAGATGTTGACCTCCATTCCCCATAATTCTTGACTAGGTACATTTTCTGGGACTTGTAGTCTTACAGTGGCTGGGTCTAAAGCTGGGTCTGATCCAATTTGATCCAGTTTCAAAGTGTGCTCTCAGGTTCTTGCAAATTACATAAATTTTACTTTAAGCAATTTTTTTTCTAGACCTGTAGGTGCTCTCCCTTTATTTCATGTTGTCTGACTGGATGTATTTTTAGTTTACTCTCATAACTGCCAATAAGATTGTATAGTCGTGGCCCAGCCGAAGTTGAATAGCCCAACCATTCAAGTAGCTTGTTCTGAGCGGGTAGTCACCAAAGGGAAGCTACTTGAACTGTCGTCCATGCTCAGTATTTAACCTGTAATCTTAATACTTTAAAGAGTAATCCATACCCCTTGTGTGCCTAGAGGGGTATTGGCTATACTTCACAGACGAGTTCTAGCAAGGTCGAAATTATTGTCTAGGTTAGCTGTATATTTCGTGCAGAGAGGGCCGGCCTGCATTTTGGTTGTGGACCGCCCTTGGGTAGGATCAGTCTGATATGTAAATGGCCTATGTTCTGTTTGTAATCACCAGCACCAGATGAGCTAAAACCAGCTTGAGATCTGAGCGGGGGACTAACCGAACTGGTCTCAGTATTCTCTTGCACCCTGATTGTTTTTGCTGTCCATTTAATAAAAGTTTAATGTTGAATGGAACCCTTGCATAACTTCTAAATCGTATATGTTGAACTGTAGCTTTCTTGCTTCTGGATCTTCATAGAGACAGTGACAGGTGCCTGGTGGACCCCAGGTAAAAAGTGCATTAGCAAACAGTTTAACTAGATACATAGGGAGGAGGTGGTGCCAGGAAACTCCTGGCTCCATAAATATCATGGCATGCTGCAGTAGTTATGGTGTGTGGGTTGTTCCTTTAAATGTTTTCCTGGCATGTCTCTTTTAAAGAGATTTCTCAATATTTCTTGTAAACAACGACAACCGCTCACAGTTCAGAAAACGACTAGGCAGCCGTGCTCTGGAGACATGTCATTTGTAGGATTTACAGATATATATTTATATGTATAGTGATTTTTCCTGCTCTGTTTATACAGCTGGGAGGAATATATAGTGTTGATGTCTGTGTCTTCACATTTAGCCTGCACAATTCGCTTGAGGTTTCCTTTCAGCCTTGGTTAATTAACCCCTCGGCTGCCTGAGTAGACCTTGACAGATTGTGCATTGGCGAACAAGCTTTTAACGATTTTTGTGCCCCTTCTTGCCTGCGGACATTGTCTTCTGACATGGTGGCCTGGTTTATCTAAGTACATAGCTTTGTCAAATTCACTAGGATTTTTCTCACTCTATGATCTAATAAAGCTGCATCTGCTTGCCATTTTTACCTCAATTTATTAGATCTACCTCAAAATGACATCAATGACTCAGATTTGCTCTTCACTATAATGTCAGGCAGGTTTACAAGGACGTGAGGTAATTGTGGTTGAGTGACCAGACATTCCATCTAAAGCAAGATGAATATGGGAAATATATGCTGCACGGCTGTACTTAAAGTGCTGCTACCCTGCTGGAGCCTAAACCTTCGTTAAATGTGATATATTGCTGTTTAGTAAGCAGTGCTTAATTTCTCCAAGTATATGTTAATGAACTGCACCCATAATGGCAGTATTTTGTAAGTGTGCGTTACATACCTCCCGACACAGGGAGGCAGTAACCCAGGGCTCTGGTAAAGAAGCATATGAGAAGGGTGTGTCAGCCTGTCTTGCCAACGAGCTCTTCATATACACAGAGTGCTCCGGGAACTGGCAGACCTTTGCTTTATATTAATCTAGATGTTCTCCAGGTTCCAGAGAAGCAAAACACTAAAATGAACTGGGTGACTGGCTTCAGGTCCTATTCCAAGATAGGACACAGTGTATCTTTAATTACATTATTTGTTTCTCTTACTGCCATCTTCCCTTATTGGCCAACACGTATTGTGAAACAAGTATCAAAATGCCCAGCACATATCAATAGGTGAAAAAGCCCTCAAAATGTTTTTTTTTTATTTGATTTCCTGTATTGATGTGTGCTGGACTTTTAGAATTCTAAACTGAATGGTTGTATAGCCCAAGTCCATGCTTTCATTTTAAAGGATTGTGTACACATATGTGAGTGGTGCTCAGGTAACCTTGTTTATGTATCCCTATTATTTATTTTTGTATTTTTGTCTTTTTTATAGGAATAGCAAAATAAACATTATTATTAATATTTTAGAATCCTGGAAAGTGCAACCCCCTCATCCTTCTGCAAACCTTAGAATTCTCTGCTATAACTGTTTCAGATCTCCTCCAGTTAACCCAGCTCCTGTAAATCTAAACACACGCATGTTCCACGCCTGGAGCATCTTCACTGGGACACCAGCAGAATTTCTTACTAGGTTTATATAACCTGATCTACATGTGTCTGATTTCTGACAGGAAATTTATAGAGTCCATTAATTCAACATTAGATCATCTTTCCTAGAGGCTTTTTTTTTTCTCCTCCCGGTCTATTTTATAGATTCCAGTGTTTGGGTTTTTTCCACTTAAAATAGAATTTACGCTGTGTAATCCAGACATGCCTTAACACTTAAGTGTGTCTCCAGATTTAAAAGGGTTAAGATCGTTGAACAAGAACTTTAAAAGTGATGTTTCAAACTTGAATCGGAAAATGTAAGTAGTTTTTGCTTGTGTGCAACCTGATAAACTGTCATTGTGATGTCTGACAATACAATCCAATATAAAACATAGTGGTTAACTGAATTGGCAGCCGTACAATGAAGTTGAAATTCCTTTCACCCATTAAGCTTACAATCTATTTTTGAGATGTAATTTGGAGCTTGGAACATGTCATAAACTGGCCAGTGCCACATCAAAAGGCCTGTCTTTATGGCAAGGCAACTTTTTAGGTCCTGTGTGTAGTTTGTCCTGTGATTACAACTGTCTATTCTTCTTGTCAGATGTGGGTAAGCTTTTTTTAATCATCGTATTACTGATAGGGAGGGGTACAACAGCTCTCTCTGTAGGTTAGGACCTCATAATATAAGGTTTAGTTAAAAACAGGAGTTTCTGTCCATTTAACTAGCTCCCCAGTAGTGATTTGTAAGGAACAATTCCTGTCTAAATGCAGTTATAAATGTACTGACTTGTCATTTATCAAATCGCCTTCATCTGACCTTTGCAGTGTCTGAGACTCTTGTATACATGCATTCCTTTTAAAATTAATATATATTGTATAATGTATAAATATACCTACAATGGAGGCTAGTTTTATAGCAGATGCACTTGCCACTTTGCACTTTTTATTTTCTATGGGCAACTGTCACATAATAGATTTACTAGTCAATTGAAAACTGAAGTGTAACATTCATACCAAAAATAATTAGGAAAAATTCTCCAGCTCTACTGTTTGTCATAGTCTGGCTATTATGGCCTTACAGCAGCTTTGTCATCTCTGAGCATTTCATAAAGGTATAATCCTTATGATACTTATGCTGACTATGTTGTAAAATCATTGAAATTCCAATGCAATCCAAAGATATCGTAAGATACAGTAGGGACTAATTTGTCTTATAATAAAGACTAAAGGCAGATCTCTCCTATCAACGTTTGTCCTTTCCCAGCAAGTTTATCCTGAGATGTGATCTATGTAGGCTCCTGTGGGATACTCCATCTACGGGATCTATGTAGGCTCCTGCGGGATACTCCATCTACGGGATCTATGTAGGCTCCTGCGGGATACTCCATCTACGGGATCTATATAGGCTCTTGCGGGATACTCCATCTACGGGATCTATGTAGGCTCCTGCGGGATACTCCATCTACGGGATCTATGTAGGCTCCTGCGGGATACTCCCATCTGCGTGATCTATGTAGGCTCTTGCGGGATACTCCATCTACGGGATCTATGTAGGCTCCCGCGGGATACTCCATCTACGGGATCTATGTAGGCTCCTGCGGGATACTCCATCTACGGGATCTATGTAGGCTCCTGCGGGATACTCCATCTACGGGATCTATGTAGGCTCCTGCGGGATACTCCATCTACGGGATCTATGTAGGCTCCTGCGGGATACTCCATCTACGGGATCTATGTAGGCTCCTGCGGGATACTCCATCTATGGGATCTATGTAGGCTCCTGCGGGATACTCCATCTACTGGATCTATGTAGGCTCCTGTGGGATACTCCATCTACGGGATCTATGTAGGCTCCTGCGGGATACTCCATCTACGGGATCTATGTAGGCTCCTGCGGGATACTCCATCTACGGGATCTATGTAGGCTCCTGCGGGATACTCCATCTACTGGATCTATGTAGGCTCCTGTGGGATACTCCATCTACGGGATCTATGTAGGCTCCTGCGGGATACTCCATCTACGGGATCTATGTAGGCTCCTGCGGGATACTCCATCTACGGGATCTATGTAGGCTCCTGCGGGATACTCCATCTGCGGGATCTATGTATGGTGCTGGGTACGCCATACATCTCAGTGTTGTAATCTCATGCATGAAAGTACATCACTGACACAGCTTCTGGTAGATGAAGCGCCAAGAGCTGAAGAGGGTCCCCCAGAATTAGTTGGCAGCAGTCACGAGGGACAGCTTTAGGTAAGTGTACCTGCTTTCCACTGCACCCTGTGGACACCGGATCTAAAGCGAAGCAGAGATGTCATTTTTAGGCATAGCAGGATTAACCATAAGGCAGCAGTAGGTGACCATCTAGGGCCCAGAGTTTAGACAGGGACCCTGGAACCATGAATTTGATTGGCCCCATTAACCATCTATGTGTCAAGAATGAAAGGAGGGGGCAAACTGGTAACCTGCCGATGGCCCCATGGGATCTTAAGGATTACTCCAACCTTTGTTCACCCTTTGCTTTTTTTGTTGCTCTAAAACCTACCTGTAATTAGCTAACCTTTAATCTACCTCCTCTGTCTGATGTTACAGGGGGCCTTGCTCGGTCCAATCACAGGCTTTATAGAGAAGCCTGTGATTATATGATTTTGCTGGCTCAGGCCCATAAGTGGTGCTGGTGGGAGGTATTCAATTAAAAAAACATTCAAAACTAACACACCATTAACACAACAGAGGAGTGAGGGAGCACACAGTGGGAAGTAAAGGGATCTGCCTGAGAAGATTATCACGTCTGTCAGTGCAGAATATGCACAGAATTGACCGTCTGGATCAGTGTTCTAGGCTGCTTAAATCACGTGTGCCAGGGTGTAAATTGACCTTGGCACATCAGTGCAAATATTCTGGAGTGCAGTTTTTTTAAGGCATAACATTGCACATCCAAACTTCTACTAATTTGACCACTTCAAATCACTGAAATGGTCATGATGGTTGGAGTAATCCTGTAATCCTTCTCTGCCTTTGGGAGTCTTTGCAAAAAAAAGGCTTCCAAAAGTGAAACATTATGTTTAATTTTTGCCAATTTTTTTTTCTGTTCACCACCCTTCTACTCTGCTAATTTGGGCTACATTTTTCAAGCTTCCTAATTTTTATGACGGAATAGCCTGATTGTGACTTTGCATTAAGATGAATTGAAATCTTGTATATGGCTCTCAGCAATGAGCAATCCTATATCTCTCTCCCCTGTGTGGTTATTCACCAAATAGGGGGACTGTGGAGAGTTTGTGAAGGGAATTGTTTTAGCCCCAAATAGCCAAGCTCGAGAATCATCAAGGGTATGCAGCCTTTTGTGATGAACAAATGTGTCTTTTGTTGTTTTGTTTTTTTTAAATGCTGACCCAGAATGTGTAAGGGAGATGTTGATTCAGCCAAGTCCTTTGGGAGCTGAGCGGAAAGAAGAATATGTTGTTTCTGTTTTTTTATAGATTAAAGGTTGCTAGTGATGTCATTCTATATGATGCTTCTTCCCGCATTCAGATTTTGTGCAATCTTGGTTTTGACAGCACCAAAAAATCTGTCCTTTGAGAATTCCCATGCAGCCGCCGTGTCTGGAGCTGATGGACAGAACTAGGGAATCCCTGACCTCGAACACAGGGAGTCTTTTTATTATTTTGTGAAAAAAGAGCCATTGTCATCAGTTAATTACTGTATCTTTCAGTTTAGCTACATTGCTCCTATAGCCATGTAAAGATGACTAAGCTGTGAGCATATATCTTAATGAGGATTATCGTTTGAGCAGCTGTGTTGGTCCTGAGGAAGTGTGGGCTGAGGGCAATGTATGATATCTTTCCAATGTCCACATTACTATGGAGACTCATTTGTACACTTCTTGCTGCTCGAAACACAGGAAAATGTAACCTTAGGGAAGCCATGATGTGCAGACCATTCATCATTGCTTCCAGAGAGGCGATGGGTGAATTAAGCCTTCAGAGGGTTCCAGACAGGGTATCAAATTAGGCTTCTAATCCTTAAACACTCAATTTACAAAAAGGCTGACTGCACCAAGTACAATGACATTAGCTGTGGTGTGTGTGTAATGTGTGTGTGTGTGTGCTGGCTGAATGTAGTGTGTGTGTGTGTGGGTGCTGGCTGTATGTAGTGTGTGCTGGCTGTATGTTGTGTGTCCTTGGTATAGCTGAAACAGCTAATACAGATATCCAGGGAACATTGGAAGTAATTGCCTTGACATATTCCTCTTCATCATCTTAATAGGAAAGGAAGGTAGGAAGCAGTGAACACAACTCGGTGTGCTTGGCAGCGGAAGGTGCAGTTTGCCACAAAGGGTGCAATAATAAGCAATGTCACTGACCAAACTAGTCTTGCCATCACATAAAGTCAGACTCTTTGTGCCATATTAACCCATTAAGGACACATGACATGTGTGACATGTCATGATTCCCTTTTATTCCAGAAGTTTGGTCCTTAAGGGGTTAAAGGGATACTATAGGCACCCAGACCACTTCAGCTTATTAAAGTGGTGTGGGTTTAGTGTCCCTGTCAGTTTAACCCTGCAATTTGAATTATTGCAGTTTTTGATAAACTGCAATTATTACATTGGAGGGTTAACTCCATCTCTAATGGCGGTCATACAGACAGTCACTAGAGGTGCTTCCGGGTCTGTAGGCGACTTTTGGTAGCCTGTTTGACGCTGGACGTCCTTGCGCTATGGACATCCAGCGTCCGCTAAAACCTCATAGGAAAGCATTGATTCAATGCTTATCTATGGGGTTGTCCTAATCCTAATACAATCGCTGCGCATGATCATTATGTACCCAATGTTGGGGAGGAGGAGCGAAGGCAGAAGCTTTCCCAGTGCAGAAGGACATCTGCAGGGGAGAGGGAAGGGGTGCGAGGGAGGAGTGCACTAAAGGCTAGGAATACATTTTTGTAAAGTCCTAGCATATAGTTTCCCTTTAAATTATATGGGTATTTTATTTGAATTTTTTTTATTAATATTATTATTTTTTTAGTGCTGCGAGTTACAGACAGGCTTGAGTTGCCACAACAGCAAGTACAAGCTAGTAAAGCAATACATATTAAACCGTTTCATGGCATTAGATAATAACACAATTTTTTAGTAGATTCAGGTTAGTTACAAAAATAATGAAACAAGCGTTATAGGGATGTCAGAGGTGTGAAATCAGCATTTTACATAGACTGACTATATGAGTGGTCTTAATAAGAGATGACAGATAGCAGGTCAGTAGTGATTTAAGGGAGAAATGAGGATAATTCATGCTGTACTGACTGACAATGCTATTAACAGTAGTACCACTGGGTAGTAAATAATGGCTTATAAACAAAATTATAGAATTGCGATCTCATGTGTGATCCAAGTGGTAAGCTAAGCAGCCTTTTCTGCTTGTCACGGGTAAGTGAAGGGCCAAACTCAGTCATACCAAGCATATACATCTTAGGTGACACGCTAGAACCAGCTAAACAAGTAGTTTCTAAAGATAAGGCTAGTTTGAGTCAGATATGCAGTCCATGGTGGGCAAATAAGGAGAAAATGTAAGTCTCTGCAGTGCCCAAAAGGCTGGCATCTAGTACCACAGATTAGCGTTTCCACTTAGCTCTTTCAGCCAATGCCTGTAGATTGAAGGCCACTATTCTTCATGCCTGGCTCAGCTTCACCTCTCTCCACAGTGTGTTGCTGGAAGGTGACTGCATCCGGTACAGGAGTGGAGGGTATAATCCACAGTGCCGTGCTTGTGCTCCTCTGTGAACCCCAGCTTCCGCAGGAGCCTACATAGATCCCGTAGATGGAGTATCCTGCAGGAGCCTACATAGATCCCGTAGATGGAGTATCCCGCAGGAGCCTACATAGATCCCGTAGATGGAGTATCTTTGCTGACGATGGGAGCGTGGTGCCTCTGGCGCTCCAGTTTGTGGGGGGGCCTTCTGGGTAGGTAGACTACAGGCTGGATGTTTGTCCAAGACGGCCCACAGCCCAGAAGGGGAAAAGCTGTGAGCCGGAACTGTGTTGTGAGTTGGCAGCTCAGCATGTGTAGATGAGGTGCCGGTCCTGTCTGTGATACGTTGCCAAAATGCCTGGCAGAGTCGATCGAATTTGGCCTCGAACAATTCCTTCCATGTCAGGCCCTCTGAACTTAGTGGATACGATAGTGTAGTGACCATCTTAGCACAGCCACGAGGTCTCAAGATCAGCACGAGTGTTTCTACTTTGCAGAGTAAGTAGCTCTTCCAGGACCAAGATAACCCCCACCAGTCCAAAGGGGGGAAGCGTGGCTCAGGCAATAGTCAATGCGTCGTCAAGGCGGGAGATCGGCCACGTCTCCCACCTTGGAACCAACAACAGGCTGCGATGAGCTTCAGTGGGGCCAGTAAGATCGGTCCAGGAGGTGCCCAGGTTCTCCCCTGATATCTTGAAGTGTTTTCAATTTCAATATTTGCAGAAATGCACACTTTATGGAGTTAAATTGCAGGTTTAGTTGGGGAGCTCCCTCTGCATGCATCCTGCTTGCTTGGCAGCCCGGCCCTGCCCCATCAGGGCATTTTTATGTCAACTGGTTCTCAAAATAACTTGAATATTAACACTATAGGCACTGAGACCACTTCATCTCATTGGGTGCAGTTTCCCTGTCTGCAAGGCCTCTTGCATGGGAGGGCTGGCCAAGGTGGCATTTGCCCCCTTGGGCCACTAGCATGGGGGGATGTGAGGGAGAGTGTGGGCTTCAGTCTCAATTTGTCTGAAAATGTAAATAGTGGGAGGTATGTTGAGATATCTGTTTGCATAGTTGTGCCAGGAGTAAAGTGCTGGGCAGGAGCCTGGAGGGACCTTTCCTAGCCCAGCACTGAATTGGTTTGTGGAAAGACTGCTAGCCTGTGTTCTTAATGCATTCAGGGTTAGACTAGCCAACTGGGATATTTCCAGGTTAACTTCAGAATATACTTCCAGACTGCAATGTGATTGTATGGTATCCCTGGAAGTGTTTGCCAGTAACCACAGGGTGACATGAGACAATGCTCATGGCAGTTATTACACGTGCTGGTTGTCATTGGTGGCAGTGGAGTCAATAGAAAATAGAATCTGCATCTCTTAGGCATGCACAGATCTCTGAATAGACTGCCACACTGATAAAACTCCTCAATCTGTCAAAGAAATTTATATTGCATTCTGCATGTGTGTAGGACAGTCTGTATGGAGATCTGAGAGTTTAATGCAAAAAAAAAGGCCATTTATTTGTACTTTCTCACCAGGTCAATTGTTGCAGCCCTGCCCTAGCCTATTGCTGTGCACACCTTGCATTATTGATGTACAGACGCATAGTCAATAAGCATGCCTTAATGATATGTATTATAGGAATCTCACCCTCTTTGAAAAGCCAACATCACCTTTCTATGACTGGATCACATTATATGTCACAATATGCATAATGATCTATTCTAACCCTGGTAGACAGTTTATTTTAGAACAGACTATCCTTGTATATCTAAAATACATATGATGTGTAAATTGACGTATTTAGGTTATTTATAAGTATGTACTTGTCTTTTTACACCCCATTCTCTGTCCAAAACATAAACCATGTACTTTGATCCCCTTTCTAAAATCTGCTCAGTTTATCTTTATGTAGCAGCAACAAAAAGCCGTCTACAGATATTCCTGCAGACAATATTTTGGTTGCCCCCTTGAACCCAGGACACGGTTTATCAAACTTTCTCACATAAAGGCAATCCTGTGTAGAATCACAATGGGTAAGAAAATAAAAGCAAACAGACGCAGCACAAGATCAATGAAATGGCATAGGGACTGTTTATTCCCACAGTAAGTATTCCTGTCAAAGCGAGAGACCCCGCTGTCTCTTCTGGAGGATTTTAAAGAGTTCTGCCTTTGGTCAAAAAAGGCTAAATTCAAGGAAAGTTCAAAAACCACACTCTGAGAACTGTCCGTTTCCCACCCAAGATCTTCTTCAGATAGAAGCTCTATATTTCCCACCTCTGCACAAAGTGGAGCACTCTACAAGCTCGCCCACTCTCTGCATAGAGTCTACACTATGCCCATTTAGTGGCTGTATTTGCACATCTGTTAGCTGTGAAGAGTCCCCTTGACGGGGAACATGTGAGAAGCTGCTTTCATCCCTTAGCCTAGCGAGAGAGATAAATCAAATTGAAATGGCCACATAAAATATGCAGCTACACAACATTCACCAGGGAGTCCGAAATGTCAAACCTTTCCTGCCTTTTATCTGTATATGTTGCTAAGTAAATGAGGGCTCTCTTCCTGACTCAACCAAGGGAACCTCTTCTTCTTTTTTTCTTTTTTTTTGGGGGGGTGGGGGGGGAGGATTCAAACCACCTCTGAAACGTTTGTATTCACGCTTGATCTTGACATTTTTATTCTAAGAGCACGTGCAGTGTACCACAGGCATGCAACCAGAGCACGTATTATGGACTGATCATATCTTCTAAACTATCTTCCCATGTGGCCTGTGGCAAAACTAAGGGATTTATCAAATAAGCACTGAGTTAGGTAAATTGACAGCTTATTTGCCAAATTAGCTGAGCTCAAGAAAATCCATAATTCCACTGGACCACCGAATGTCAGCTGTTAAGGGATTAAATTAGGGTACTATCTGATTGAAAAAATGGTTTTAAGTTTCACATTTCTCTTCTATGCCTGCTGCAGTTTCTATTGGGTATTGATAGTCTTAAAGCGGCCAGGTTGGTTTTGGGCTCTGGTAGCTGAACAGGAGAAGCCATTATTCTTACAGGTTTATTCATTGTGAACTGGAATAATTCTTAATTAGTCAGCTATGCGTCCATTTCGGCTACTCTGGGCTTGATTCTGAAATTCATTTTGAAATCACTTAGACTTTAGTGAATAACCTCGTTCGACTACCTTCATATGGTGTGGCGACAATTGTCCATCACTACTGTCTTATTCAGCCCAGGCTCTAAATCACCAGTAATATCCAGGATTGCAGGTTTACTCAGCTGTATTTTAATGGGAATCATAATTAAAACAAGAACCTAATTAGTGCCAGGAGAGTGTTCTAAGATGATAGATTAACATTTTCTATAACATCAAGGAACAAAACCCCACATATTTCTTCAGTGCCAACATTCACCCAATTTTGTTTCAAAGTCAATGAGTCAACAAATAGAAAGTCTATTTAGTTTCCAGTTTTTAAAGAGACGCTATAGTCACCAGGAAAAATACAGCTTATTGTATTTGTTCTGGTGAATATAATCATTTCCTTCAGGCTTTTTGCTGTAAACACAGTTTTTTCAGAGAAAATTCAGTGTTTACATTACAGCCTAGTGATAACTTAACTGGCCACTCCTCAGATGGCTGCTAGAGGTGCTTCTTGGGGCAGTGCTGCACCGTGTGACTGAGGGTGTTTCCACCCTCTGCATGCAGACACTGAACTTTCCTCATAGACATTCATTGATTCAATTCATGTCTGTGAGGAGATGCGGATTGACCAGAACAGTGTTTGTGCTGGCTCTGCCCCTGATCTGCCTACTTGACAGTCTCAGCCAATTCCTATGGAGAAGCCTTGTGATTGGCTCAGACCAACACTTCTGATGATGTCAGAGGTCAGATGCAGTTCACAGGCAGAAGCTTCAGACTGAAATACAAGTAAGAGTTTACTATATGTAAGGAGGCAAGAGGGGTGCAGGGGAGCCAGATGGTGGTTTTAAACACTATAGGGTCAGGAATCCATGTTTGTGTTCCTGACCCTATAGTGTTCCTTTGGGATACTACTGTGCTTGATGCATAGTTGATCTTGCTTTTCTGTCTGTGCTGTATAATCCCCTCATTCATACATCACCCCCTATATCCCCTTCATTCATATGTTGTGATCTCCCCCATTATGGGTTATGGATGTGGCTGCAGCAGAGTGCAGAACCGCAGGGTTATGTAATAAATTCTGGACTCCTAATAAAAACAATGAGACATTTAGGATTGGTTGAAGATTGTCACTCACTTCCGTTTACAAAGCTTGGGCAAAAAGCTTGTAGCAAACAAAGGAATATCAAAGGTGAGGTTTGGGGGGCGTTCAATATATCGAATTGTCACAAATAATGCATAAAAAAACTCCTTAACAGGATAGGGTAATTGGCTTTCCTGGTAGAGGCAAGATCGCCGTTAAACTGTATATTTATTATATTGTTGATGAGAGAAAACCTGTTCATAATGCTTTGCTTCTTAAAAAAAATGTACAACTGCTTAGAATGAAAGGGATGGTCTGTGTCATGGATTACAAACCATTCCGATTATAGAAATGTGGTCTGGTGCCTTAGTGCCAAGTCCAAGGGAGGGTTTTACCTATGTAACTTATGAGAAAACAGAAATGTTTTGAGGAATTCTGAATTTGGACAGTATGTGCTGTAATACTTTCCACTATTTATTAAAGACGTTCTACTATCCCAGAGTGGTAAGCAGCTATGCAGGCCGTCACAGAAGGGATTTCAAACATTTGGTTTTAAAGAGGCTTAGTCCCATTAAAATATTTTTGTTAAGATATTTTTTCCATTTGTAAAATGTATTTCCAAATGGTGTAAGAATCTATTCAGCATTCTCCAGAATTATAAAACCCTTTGATTGAACGAGTGGCCTGTTCCCATCAATATTATTTTGTTATGGTAAGTTTGTTTACGTAAAGTTAATTTTGGTAAATATTTATCAGTACTTTTCAGAACTGACCAACTCTTTGCCTTTACAATGTGATCATAGTGTCCTGGTAGTGAATGATTTAAAGCAAGGAGACTATGAAATCATGCATTTAATGTCAAACCTTATCAGTTAATTCCAATAATGTATCTGATTAAAGATATTCAACATTGTCTCAATACAGTTAAAGAGACAGAATCAATATTTCTTCTTTCTCGCGATGAAGCCTGCTTTGCACATTGAATACCACTGGTTTGGGGATTAGGCAGAATGTCAACATGTGCGTATAAGGATTTTTGAGACATTCAGTGAGGTTCTGGTATCTTCCTGTGTGGCTGTAAATTTGTTTGTCAAATCCTGTTTAGCTAATAAGCCAGTATGTAATGCATAGTCACTCCTAGGCAATATATCCTATAGCTCCAGCTGTGCAAACAAAGCCTTTCTGTTTTACCTAGGCATCCAAAGACACTCACTTCATGGCAGTAGGTCAGAGTTCACGCTTGTCCATACCCCTATACAAATCCTGGTTTAAGAACTATTTAAGAGCAGCCTGATTTACACTTGCTGTCATTTTCCCTCATTTTGAAATCACACTCTTGTGATTCTTAATATAAACCCCTTTAATACCTTGTACTGGGCATCTACCTGACATTTAATTCAGGCATTGCTTTCAAGAACTTATCTCCGTTACTTTTCATCATAATCTGAAAATTAAAATATCATGTAGTGTAGCACATCCTTTGGATGGCTATAACCCTTTGAGTGTTGAGAGGGTGTGTGTTGAATACGCATTTTGCACTCAAAGGATTAAACTTCAGTAAGCTTGGAGACAGATGACAGCTTAGCGCAAATATGTGTTTGCTTGACAAGAAATAGTTAAATTTGTGCGAAAATGACAAAGCTGAACAATTAATTTTAGTGGATTGTTGAGATTTGACTTAGATAAATGGTTACAAGTTATCTTGGCAGCCTGTGCCCTCCATCTTCTGCTCTCTGTGTGTTTTGATTACATCATGAGTAGCTTTCCTTTCCCCAAGTTGGTCCCAGGACATAGAGGGGGTGTATATGAATCTGTTAATTCCATCAGTGCGGGTATGAAGGATAACAGAAGCAAACCTCCTGTCTGCAGGGAAAAAAGTAAGAGTAAGAATCAGCAGAATGTCTAGAACTACCTTAACTGTCATCTTAACTAGCTCTGTCAGTACATAGTAGATCATCAATCAGTCACATTTAAATCACATTTTATTCGCTAGCCACACTTTAGTAAAGTCCATTTATTAAATATTCAAATACATTAACTGTTCTTATTTTGTCAGTTTTTCCATCGATCCAAGCCTTCAGGTCATTCAGGAATTGGCTGGACTGTTGCAGTCATTCTCTGGGCTGTTATTCAGGTGTATAGAGGAACCATTAGGCATGAATAACGATGCCATGCACATGCTCTCTAATTCCTGCGATATGGCCTCATCGGGCTCTCTGTTCACCAGCAGTTTTTATTTTTTGCTGTGCATAAAGATATAAAACATGTTTGCAATGTCCCAACACCAAGTGCATGTACATCAATTTACGTGACAGAACATTGTAGGACATTTTGAGGGATTCTGCCCACATTTTTAAAGATAAAATGGGCAGGTTTACCATACATCTCTAGTCAGTGAAGAGATACTAAACTTGTGGACAGATAAAACGTTCTAGATATATAGGATGTAAACTGTAGGTAAATGTAATAAAACATACTATGCTAACAGTAATAACCAATTTGCTTGGATGTCACTGGGTACTAGCCACAAGAGAGAAACAAATACAAATCTTGGTTAACAGGTGCATTTCGGCAGGACCTCCGCCATCAGGGACTCATCCAATGCCACAGGTAGGACACCATAGACAGTCTGTCTCACCTCCACCATTTCACCTCTCAACTCAATCCAACAATGTAAGAGCAGCCGGGTTTAATGCTTGCAGTCTGTGCTATGTCTGCTTCTCCAGGATTCTCCACCACCTTAAGCCCAGGCCTTTATGGGAGCTGGTGCCTTCTCACCAAGAACCCTGGCTCTTCAACTGGTAGGTTCGTGGTAACTCCTGAATTCGGAGTACCCTCCAGGCACTTGGATAGCTGGGAGAATGTGCCTCCACGTGGGCCTCCGGCCCTGAGTGAGGTTGATGGTCGGACAGCATCTTGATGTTCTGGCATTGCAGGTAAGGTAAGGGTGCAAGGTGCAGTGAACGTGTCTCCAGAACGCCCCACAGAGCTCTCCAAATCAAGCTTCAAAGCATGCTATCCATCTCTGGAGCTCTGTGCCCTCCTGGGATTGTGGAAGTTTAATTGTGGAGGCCAACTAAGTCTCTCCAGACAGACTCCCCACTGGCATAAAATTCCAATGTGGCAGAGAGGTAGGTTTCCCCAAAGGGGACTGAGATATCCTCTACCTGTCCATGAAAGTCGCTGTACAAAGTGTATCCAATGTCAGGAGATCGTCCGCCTCCCCCAGTCACCAAGCACGCCAGTCATGCTAGACTACATAGCCAGACAGTGTGAGTTCTTGGTAGAATGGTGTGGATCTTGCACTCATGAGTACCTACTCAGTTTGACGTTCACGCAGGGTTGAAACCACTACAATTTTGATGAAAAAAAGCTTAAATGAAACCCAATTTTTCATTAGTTGTTAAGATGCTTAATTGGCTATCTTGGCTATCTTGAACATCAAGCCCCGCCCCTCACCAGTGGTAATGAAACAACTGCTCCCTGCGATTTCCCTTCACCTGTATGAACTTTAGTTCTGTACTACTGGCTGTTCTGTACAAATGGAGGAATTGTTATGGATTTATTTCACAAGTGTGTCCATTGACAGCCACATTGTGCTTGTCCACAGGTTTCGGGCAATACATACAGGTACTTGCATGTTTCCTAGTTTGTCTCTGGAATCATGTTGGAAGGGGGCGACACATGGGTGGAGCACTGGTACATATGATAAAATATTGAAGGGATGCTCTGTCAGACACCTACTTGCTTAGCTACCTGGAATCCCCCTTTAAATGGGAAGAATAGCCATTGAATATTTGATGAATGAGATTGAGTATTCTGTTAAAAAACATGGGAATATGCATTCTTACAGTCAGATCACAGAGCCACAGAAAATCAATGTAAATTATTAAGGATGATAGTCGATTATCCTCTACACCTGATCAATCAGAGACCGATAACTTACTGATTGCGAATACTGGAGATGTGTATCCCTCTCTGACTGGATGGAGAGACAGATCAGCCTTTAATTTTCATTGTCTGTGGCCCAATGGCACTATGATGGGGTGGCTCACAACATGCAGTGTATATCCTTGTGTGTGTGCTTTTTATAGAGTATGAAATAGAGATTACATTATTATACTGCTGGTCAGAATTCTCTTTTAACTGGGGCATATCTGTGATATGCCTCCTGCAGGACACTGCGGATTATAATGTAACCTTACAGTGTATCTATTTAAATAGTGTCCCCGGTTACCCCTTGTGTATTTGAGCAAGGATGGCGGGGGCTAGTTTGGTAACCTGCCTAGTGCCATTTTGAATCTGGTGTAATTGTGTGTGTGGTTGTTTTCTGCATGGCATGAGCTGTCAGTGTCTTTTCCTCTGCCACATCCAAGAACAAGGTGTACGTGTGTGTGTGTTTCTTTAAGGGAGGGCCACGTTCCAATTAATAGAGACTGTCTTTTAAAGAAGACCTTGTTGGATAAATAGACAGTAAATGGAACGGCCAGACAGGAGCCGGCTTCAAATCTCTCACTGCAAGCTGTGAAAATTGGCAACAGGGTCCGTTTTCCAAAGCTTGCCTGGATTGTCTGTCTGACATCTGCAGCTTTCTTAACCCCTTACCAGCTGACTTGTGCCTCTGGTAGTTAAGGGGTTAAAAGTGAGAATAAAACATTGAAAATCACCCATAACTTTTTTCATATGCTTTTTTCATTTTTTAAAAGCTCTTTAAATTTATGTTTAAAGATTCAACAAATTACATCGCAACCCGGTTCAGTTCAGGCACAGCCATGGCAAAGATTGCAAATGACAAAGAGAAACAAAAACATTGTTCCATTTCTCCTCATATCGGTCTCCTTTCTCTATGCTGACTGCCAGGTGCAAAAGTCAAAGCTTATAAAAATAATTAACATGGAGCCAAGATGGATGTGGCAGTTGCAGGATAAGGAGGTGTGAAATTTATTAATTCTTTTTAACTTTCACACCTCTAAAATACATGTTTGTGTGTACTTATTGAAGTGGTTATAGTGTCTGGGGCCCTCTGGTGTAGGCCTTAAAGGACCACTATGGGCACCCAGACCACTTCAGCTCAATAAAGTGGTCTGGGTGCCAGGTCCCTCTAGTTTTAACCTTGCAGCTGCTATGTTTACATTGAGGGTTAATCCAGCCTCTAATGGATGTCTCACTGACAGCCGCTAGAGGCGCTTCCGCGATCCTCAATGTGAAAATCACATTGAGGACAAACTGGACGTCCATAGGAAAGCATTGAGTAATGCTTTCCTATGGGCGGTTTGAATGTGCACGCGGCTCTGGCTGCGCTTGCGCATTCGGACTTGACGTTGGCAGGGGGAGGATAGGTCAGGACATTAAATGAATAATCCTTGTGACAGTTCCCCTTTAACAGGAAGGTTTTACGCCATCTTTCTTATAACGTAACAATATTTTCTTCCCATCTGTTCTGGTTCTGTTGAGCTCACTCATCCTGAACTGGTTACAGTTACCCGTGCTTTTTCAAACAACCTATCCCATGTATTTCTTGTTGTTGTTGTTTTTTTTTTTTTTTTAAAAGAAGAAACCTTAAACAAGGTCGTGCTCATTGGCTGAGAGAGTGAGCTACGTGCTACACAATATACAGTGATATTATACAGAAACATTGACTTGTATTCACAATGTTGTATACACAGAAATATTGACTTGCAAAAATACTGCACAAACTTTATTGGTTATTTATTTAAAAAGCAATTTATGTCATTAATAGTCAAAAATATATCTTATGTTCATGTTTGAGTGAAAGATTTAATGTTGTATTTCTACATTAATCAATCTACATTAATTTGCAATCACTAATGTTTGGTGAGTGGACATTGGTCCCTGAATGGCTACTGAAGGCGCTCTATAATAATAAAACATATTTTCATGATCCTTACTTTTTTGGTGTCTCATTTCAATCTCAAATCAGGTGGGCAAATTGCTCAATGCTTCTTCTACCTTTGAGGACAGCATATAGCGTGACATCTCTTCCTGGTCTGAAAATGAATAGGTGACCAAAACAGCCTGAAATATATTATCCATATGTCCCATATATTATTTCTCATGGATTGGGAAGCTTTCTCCCCTCCAATGTTAAAATAATATTCACATCACTTTAATCTGAAATCCATCTATTTAGGGTACGCTCGCTCCCTCTGCAGGCTTCCATAGTAACTGCGTGCATGGACTACCTTGCAAGGTCAACCCCGTGACTTGCTAAATACCTAGGATTTCTTTAGCTAGGGTTTTTCTTTAAAAAAAATTAAATAATAACATTTAAATATTAAAAGCCTTTAAATGTTTCCTTTAAAATATAAAAAAATAATGCAATGAAGATTTTTTTAGAATCTGATTTTTCTCCCAGTCCCCTCTCAGTGTTGAATCACTGTTACCAGTTTTACTTCATTTTAATGCAGGAATAATGTCTGGTATGGTACTCTCCATATAGTGCAGAGGGGGACTTCTCCTTCCTTCCTAAATTCAAATAACAATGTTTTATAACCTCATACAGTTTGCAGTTTAAACAATAGAAGAGAGAGAGCTCAGCTGTGATCATAAAACATGAAAACAAAATGATATTAGTTACAGATTTTCTTTCACGCCTACCCTCCTCTTAAACCATACAGTAACAGAATTAGAGAGACATTAAAATAATAGTTATAGCCAAAAAGCCAGGTTTGGAATATACATGAGCTATATTTACTGTTTTTGCTGAATTTTACTGTATTTACTGTTTATTTGTATTGTAATTGTGTCCATACATAAAACATAGCACCATGGGAACAAAGGTGCTAAACACAGGTCCTAGAGTAACAATTACAAGGAAGAATAATAGATAACGATAATAACAATAGTCAGTATCATGTAGAAACCTAAAGTGGTCTGAGTTTTAACCCTGCAGCTGAAAACGAAACTGCTATGTTTACATTAGGGTTAATCCAACCTCTAGTGGCTCATTGACAGCCGCTAGAGGCGCTTCTGCGATTTTCAGTGAGAAAATCGCACTGAAATGACGCTGGACATCCTCATGGAGTCCAGCGTCAAATAAAATCTCCATAGGAAAGCACTGAGTAATGCTTTTCTATGGGCGGGTTTGAACTCGGGAGCTGAAGTTGACTAGGGGAGGAGACGTCACCAGGGGTTTTAACCCCTTCAGCCCAGTGGGAGGGGGGATACCTATTAACCCAATAGTGCCAGGAAAACGGGTTTGTTTTCCTGGCACTATAGGATCGCTTTAAAATACAGATCGTTTCACGTTAGTTTCCAAGAACTCTGGTGACTTTAAGATTTGACTAATCTTAAAGTATGTTTTGAAAGGGTATTAAAGGCAGAGTGCACTATATGTTCCAGCCGCCGCACATGTACCCTTCAAGGGAGTCTGAAAAGTATGCTACACAGGTAATGTTAGAATTGATGAGAGTTGCAGGACAGGCTAGTCTTAAGTGTTTAGAGTTTGTAGGACTTAGGGATAGGGAGTGTTTAGGGTTACGGGGTGCTTGTGGTTATAGCAAGCTTATGGTAAGGTTGACGTAAGGTTGGACATACCTACCTTCATGGTGGTGTAGATTCTGCATAATGTTACATTGTAGGGCAATACTTATTATGTTTTTGCCATCAGCTATTCAGGCAGCCCTACCTCTGTAATTCATCTTGGTTAACACTACTGCGTTAAAGGTGCTGCACTTTTGGGGGTGAGTTGATTCAGCTGGTTTCAGATGGAGTACCTGAAAACCACCTGATCAAAATTAATGGTGCCTCTTGTACATCCAGATAAAATCTAGGTCCCAGGAGTTTATTTTCTATGGATGGAAGCAGTGATGGGGTTACCTGCTGGCATTGTGCCTGCTGTAACCACGAATAATCAATGATCTTTTTATGCTGGTACTTACATTTATTTTTTTGGTTTGTCGGTAGCCTTTCAAAAGACTGTCTGCTCTCTCCATCCCATGGGGCTGCGTGAGACAGCAAAACCCCCTTGAAAGTCCCGCTTTGGTGAAAAATACAATCTGATGTCTACAATATTTTTACAGTAAATCTAATTTCTTAGAGCGCACAGTCCTGAACAATGGGGTGATTTATCAGCGGATTCTTTAAATAGAGGGGCCATGCCATCTTAATAAGCACCACTTGTGCAAATATTGCAGGTTTTAAAGAGAGCTTTTTTTTTGTTAACCAATTACATACCAGACAGAACCAGGAGAGGCTGTGAGACTAGAAAAGGCACATCTCATTTCTCCCTTCTGCAGATGTGCTTTCTAGGGACTTTTTCGGGGAGAAAGGGAACATTATAACAAATACAAAAAATGAATTACAAATGAAGAACTATATATAAAATAATCTTTAGAAGATTTATTTATTGTGCATTATTAAGAGCTTAAATGATTAATCTTCCTGTTTCTCTCTCTCTCCCTTAGTATACATTATAACTGTTATTATAGTGAATACCAAGTCGCTTCAGAAAACATAAAAAAGCTTTTGTTTTTCATCCTTTATGAAAGATGCTGCAATCTATTAGGTAGCGGGAATCAACAGCAAAGAGTTTTATTCACTAAACTGTGAATTTTCAATTGTAGGTGAAATTGTGGAACTAAATATATAGTTACAAAATTTTCCAGTTAAAATTTTGCTCTATAGTTTGAAATTTACTTTAAATATACAAAATGTAACATTTCACCAAATAAACCTTTTCAGTGTTAACATGATTCTGTTATCTGCAGATTTAACTGTGGAGGAACAAAATGATCACCAATTGTATTGGCTGTGTGAAGTATTGTCAAGGCACATAAAGTAGCGTACCAATGGGGATGCACCCGTGGTGTTTTGCTCTAGGTGACGGACCTCCTCCCTTTCAGTAGATACACTGATATCATCGCTGTGCGGCATGTTACTGCGCTGTCGATGTAAAGGTGCTGCAGAGAGGGCGATGAGGGGCTGCTGGCATCATTCTGTGCACTTGTCGCACAGCTTCCTTGCCATGTACTGATGCCTGTAGCCAGAGTTTGATGCCATTCCAACCCTGGCACCAGTACAGAGCTGCAGGGAGTTCGAGGGTCAGGGCACAGAATGATCTCAGCAGCTCCCCGCTACACCCCAGTGATGAGGCTCCACTCAAAGGTAAGAAATCGAGGTTGGGTGGGCCTCATTATACTTAACAATGTGAGTGTCAGTGTGGGAATGTGTGTGTGCAATTGTATATGAATGTGCATGTAAACATATAAATTAATAGGAGATGGTGTTACACCAAATATTTCCCGTGGGGGGGGGGGGCAGGGGGGCCAACATACAATTATACCTCGGATGCCAAGTGACTTAGGTACGCATCTTGGCACATACCTTCCAAGTGAGCTTGTTTAGTAAGGACAATCCCTCTGTCACTTCTTTTTCTAACGTATATGTTTTATGGGTTCTAAGTTATATTATTATTTATATAGCACCATCAGATTCCGTAGCGCTGTACAATGGGTGGACTAACAGACGTGTAATTGTAACCAGACAACTGGACGTACAGGAACAGAGAGGTGGGGGGCCCTGCTTAATGAGCTTACATTCTAGAGGGAGTGGGGTATAGTGACACAAAGGGTAAAAGTAGGGGTACGAAGTAGGTTGTTAGAAAAGTATTCACTGAGGGCTTAGTAGGTAATTTTGACAGTTGCAGGAGAGGAGTCATGGGGGCTGGGGGATAAAAACCTGCTAACAGTTTAATTGATCTGCTTTCTTGATGAAGTGAGTTTTCAAAGATTTTTTTAATGAATGGAGACTGGGTGAAAGTCTTGTGGAGAAGGGAAGGGAGTTTCACAGAAGAAGTGCAACCCTGGAGAAATCTTGGAGGCGAGCATTAGAGGTGGGAGTCTTTGGCAGAGCGTAGGGGCCTCGATGGGACATACTTGTGTATTAGGGAGGATAGGTAGGTTGGAGCAGCATTATGTAGGGACATGTAAGCAAGCACCAGAATTTTAAATTGAGACCTACATCTACCTGGAAGCCAATGCAGGGACTGACTGAGCGAAGAGGTGTGGGAGGTGCGAGCGGACAGGAAAATAATCTGGGAACACGTAAGACCACTGAGCAGGGGATTGCAGTAGTCAAGGCAATAGAGAACAACAGCATGGACTAGCACCATAGCTGCATCTGGCGTTAAATAGGGGCGGATGCGCGCTATGTTTTTGAGATGGAAGCGACAGGATTTGGCGATTGATTGGACATGAGGGGTGAAGGAGAGGTTGGAGTAAAAAAGAAGTGATGATAGCGCAGTTGACTTGGAGGGAGACAGACTCAGGAGTGGTAACACTTGAGGGAGGAAAGACCAGAGGTTCTCTTTTGGACAGGTTGAGTTTAAGAAAGTGAGCAGCCATCCAGTTGGAAATCGCAGAGAGGTAGTCAGAGACATGAGTCAATATGGGCGGAGAGAGATCAGGAGAGGACAGGCAGATTTGCGTGTCATCTGCTTAGAAATGATAACGGAAGCCAAAGGAGCTGATGAGTTTACCAAGGGAGGCATTATAGATAGAGAACAGTAGGGGACCAAGGACAGAACCTTGGGGGACGCTGACAGAGAATTGTTGGGGGCAAGAGGCAGAGTCAGAGAAAGAAACACTGAAAGAGCGCTGGGAGAGATAGGAGGAGCACCAGGAGAGAGCAGTATCCCATAGACCAAAATTATGGAGAATGCGGAGAAGCTGTTGATGATCAACAGTGTCAAAGGTAGCAGAAAGATCAAGGAGAATTAGGATAGAGTAATGGCCGCGAAATTAAGCAGAAATTAAATTGTTGGATACTTTGGTCACAGCCATTTCGACTGAATGACTAGCACGGAATCCAGACTGAAGGGGGTCAAGCAGAGAGTCGGATTCGAGAGTCAGTCTGTCTGGTGTACACAACTCTCTTAAGGATCTTGTAGGCAAATGGCAGTAGCGAGATAGGGCGGTAGCTGGATGGGGAGTTGGGGTCAAGGCTGGGCCTTTTCAGAATTGGGTTTACAGTTGCATGTTTGAAGGATGAGGGAAATGTGCCAGAGGAAAGGGAGAGATTGAAAATTTTAGTGAGAGGAAGAGCAAGAGAGACAAAGTGCAGATGAGATATGAGGGAATAGGATCGAGGGAACAGGTGGTGGGGCGCAAGGACCGGAGCAGAACAGAAACCTCTTCTGCTGTAGCAGGTGTGAATGAGTGTAGAATGGGAAAGGGAAGGAGAGAAATTAGAGATCTCTTATCTTATTGTAGATCATATATATATTATTTTTGATTATTTATTGTAAATTACCTAAATGTCCTGGAGACATCTCTTCTAACACCTGTGAAAGTGTCAGTCTTTGGCCTACCTAAGACTGGATTCTAAAGCACCACATACATTATTGGCAGACGTTAACATATGCAGTCAGACTGCAATACAATAAGTATGGTCACAATGGTGGGCATACTTGGCAGGCAATTTACAGGTGAAATTTCAACCAATTCACTTTAATAATATAATAGAAAAAAAACTATGCTGCTTGTGCAACCACCAAAGGATTGTTCCAGAGCCTGGTGTTCTGCCATCCGGTGCCCAAATAGTTAACATGTTAATTCTACTTTTACAGATTTAAAGCATGGAGCCTCTATGCAGCCAAAGTGGCTTAGACTGTGGGGTTATACTCTTCCCCCAAAGTCATTAAGATTAATGCAGTAGATTATTTAGAAGGTATTTTAAATGTAGCTGTCTGCAGACATATCCGATTACTGCAGCGATTTATCAAGTCACTAATGTAATTGATCCATTACACCCTTAAATAACAGACATGTGCTTGCTCTGTATCACAGTATGACATCTTAATTATTAGTATTTAAAAAGAAAAAAAATGGTTAACCAAACATCAACTGTGCAATTCGGTTTGATTTTGCCCTTTTTCACAAAGTATCCTATTGAAATGGTACTTCCTATTTTTTATTTATTTTTTATATACAGAGACTCATTTTTCTGTGCACACGCTCAACTTCCTGGACTTTCTAGGAACTTTCAGATGCTTGGGAACTGCTCATTATTTGAGCGTGTGCATATATATGGTGTTACCCCAGGGGTTCAAAAACTGGGGCACTGCAATGGGCACACAGGGGAGCCGCAAGTTATTTTCGCGGTGCTATGATGATGGCACCTGGAACTGTGCCTCCCTCTCCCCTGCCAGCTCTGCAGGAACGGAGGGGAGATCAGAGATCTCCCTCTCCTACCCACTAGCACTTTGCTGACAGCCGGCAGGGGATGCAGGGAGAGAGGACCCAGGGAAGCTCTAACATGCAGCTCCGCCGGGTTCTCCTCTCGTGAGCTCAGAGTGTTGCGGTTACCACAGCAACGCTCCAAATCTCGCAAGAGTGAACGCTAGCAGCTGCTGAGGCTGCTAGAGTTCACTCTCACCACTGGGACCACCAGGATTCTCCACCGGACCACCAGGGATTGTCCCCCCTCCCAGGAAGAGGTAAGCAGGTAGGGGAATATTAAAATAATATATATTTTTTAAATTACATTTTGAATTTAAAATAAAAGTATATATTTATCTGCCCTCCTATCCTCACAGACCCACAATAACTCCACCTATGCACACAATTACCCTACAATACACACACACCCACTGCCCCTACATACACTGTACCCCTCATACACTGCCCCCCATACACACACCCACTGCCCCTACATACACACTGTACCCCTCATACACTGCCCCCCCACACACACACACTGTACCCCTCCTACAACCTGCCCCCATACACATACATTACCCCTCATACACTGCTCCCCCCCCACACACACATGCACTGTACCCCTTAATACAACCTTTCCCCCATACACACACTGCCCCTTCATACACACACACACAGTACCCCTCATACACTGCCTTCACACATCCGGCTCCACACTAACTGTACTCATCATACAACCTGCCCCCTCCACACACACACGGTACCCCTCACGCACAAACTGCCCCACATACACACACACACAAACACTACATCCTTCAAATACACAATGCACCACGTACACTTACTGCACCACACACACACACACTGCACCCCTCACACACACAGACACATACATTCTACCACTCACACACACACATTGCACCCCTCACACACACACACACATATTGCATCCCTCAGACACACTACAGCCCCTATCCCGGCAGATCCCAGGTAAGGTGTCAAACTGTTCTTAAACAGTTTGACTACTTACACTGGGAGGGCACTACTGACACCATAACCACTACAAACTGCTGTAGTAATTATTGTGCCTGGATTGTTTCTTTAAATAATCTACCAGTACCATCCCGAGATTAGGTTCTGGATCTGCACTTGAATGGCAAGCATTTCTGCCAAACAGGGGCCCAGTATATGCCGATGCGCTGTACATATATACAACCTAAGAAATTATTTAAACTTGGGGCGCCTAGGAAAAATATTTAAATATTAAGAGCCCCTCCCAGCTATACTTGTTTAAGTGTAAATATTGGTTGTTCGGATACCTGCTGTATGGACAGGAATAATTATGGATACCCTACATGTGCATAGGACATTAGCTTATCACAGTTGCAGAAAACATTTGCTTATAACAATTGCATAGAACTTTTGCATATAATATTTGCATATAATATGTGCGAGATGGTTAGTAATAAAACGTAGTGGGGTATTCAGCTTGGGAGCGGGGTCGCATGTGTGATGACAGACTGATCTGCTAAGAGGGTGTTTGCACTGTGGTGTATATTGTGTGCTCCTAAATTACCCCTTGACATGGGGGGGCGTTGTCGTTCAGATAGTAGGCAGTCGGGATCTAGTCTGGGCCTCTGCTTGCCTGTCAGTGGTTGTGGTCTGATGTGGGGGGAGTTTTTAGAGTCCCTCATGGTAATGGGGATTGGTGGTGCATGGGGGAATGTCCCAAAAGTCTTTTGGTGGTCTTCGGGTCTGGTTCAGGTCGTGACCGCTGTGTATTGTTCTGCTTGAGGCCTCCTCGGCACGAACTCCGGTGCACTGACTGCATCCTGCCCAAGGGGGCATGTGGTTCTCGCCGGTGGTCCCGCTGGTAGGGCATTCAGGGGGAGGCCCAGAGTGCCTAGGACCTTCGTGGCTTAGTGTACGTTGCTTACAGTATGCAGCATGTCTCCCCTCATAATGTGTAGGACGTGAGCTGGGCCCCAGCGGTACCTGATTTGGTTGGCTCGTAGCACTGCAGTGAACTGTTGTAGAGATCTTCGCCACGCTAATGTTCCACTTGAGAGGTCTGGGAAAAATGACATGGTCATGTTTTCAAAGAGGTATGCCGATTGCTCCCTGGTGGCCGCTAGGACTGCAGTTTTGTCCCTCAGGTTTTGAAATTGGAGCACTATGTCCCTATATGCGCTAGGTGGTGCCCTGGTCGGTCTCGGCAGGTGGAATATGCCATCTAGCGTAATCGCCCTGGCAGTTTTCGGAGTCAAGAGTGCGGTGAGGAGCCGCCTGGTAAAGTGTGGGAGCTCTGCGTCAGGGACTGAGTCAGCCACCCCCCTAACCTTTAGGTTTTTGTAGCGTCTTTTGTCTTCCTGTAAAGAGAATCGCTGGTCCTGTAGTTGGTTCTGTTTTTACAGTGCACTGATTGCAGCTTGGAGCTCAGTTATTTGAGTGGTATGTGTTGTGGAGATTCCCTCCACTGCCTGGAGTCGACCTGTCAAATTTTTCAAGTCATTTCTTATCATAGCCACATCGGCCGCGATTTTCCTATGGTGCTCAGCCATGAGGTCTCCTATGGCTTCCATAGTTACCAGCTTGGGGTCATTCACGGGTGGCTGGGTCCGTGTCTGGACCGGTTGTTTTAATACTGGGGCCGGTGCTGGGTCTCCCTCTGTGTTGTCCGAGGACCCCTCGTAGAAGTCCGAGCAGCCGCCATGCAGGGACGCCATCTTGGAGCCCGCGGCCTCATGGGCCTGCCGCCAGAGGTTCCCGATATCCATGCTGGGTCGGGGCTTGTCCGGCTTTTGTTTTTTTATTTTTCTCCCCGTGTGGTCCAGGGGGTTTTGGCTCACTTTGCGGTGGATTCCACCAGTGCGTTTTGCTCTAGTTTAGTCCGGAGCTTCTCCACCATGCGTCCGTCTGCTTCCCTGGCTTAGCTCCGCCCCCCCCAAATACAGCATTTTAAAACCAAAAATATTTAATTACATTTCCAGTTCAGCCATATGTGCCATTCCCATGCACTTTTCAATGTGTGCATCCAGAACCAATCTACGCAGGGATTCCTTGCATATTTCCACTTTTACACCGGCCAAAGGAATTTCTATTTTGCTGAGGGGCTGAGTGTGTCAAGGTAGGAAGAGATACATACTTGGTCTGTCAGATCATATAAACACTTAAAGGACTTGGGGATGACAGAAAGCATTAACCCCATCTGCCAATGTCCATACCACATCCCTGATCACATGCCTCATCTTCTACTTAAAATGGGCCAGCAGCACATGTGGTAACCAATGGCTCACCATAGAACCCAACATGTTTGTGGTGGATCAGTCAGGGGTTCCAAGGCTACCCGTCACTGTGATACAGCATGAAAAAAAATATCTGGAAACGTGGTTTTAAAAAGATCCAAGATTTTGACGAGAGATTGTATTAGCTGGCTCTGATATTCGTACACTGTGCAACTGACTTATCAGCTTCTACCGGATGCACATGTTTCATGGAGATCTGAAAAATGGGACATGCTTATTTCACACAAAGTGTTCCACTAGATCAGTACTTAACTCTCAATATTTCCAACAATTTAAGAGAGGGATTAATGTTCTTGGGTGGTTCTTTGAACCATATATTGATGACTTAATGAACTGTGTATATCCTAAGTAGATGGATTCATTAGCATAAATCATACTTGCCAAGGGCTACAATGTAGAATTCAACTGATCTGACAGGTGCACAAGGAGTTAATAAGTGCTGGGTAAGTGTGGGCTCAGAGATCGCTCTGCTACCGTGAATCCCAGACACAATCTGCTTTTTGGAGGGGGGTGCTTTTCGCAGGAGGAAGTAATTTTTTACAGTCAAGCAGTAGACTTGGCAGCCACCCCACATTGAACCTGCTGCCGTGTAACCCACAGATGTGTGAAAGTGCAGATTAATACTGTGCGGGCAGGTTTGTCAGACTGAACATCCAGTGTTGAGACAAGGGGATTATTTACTAAACAGTGAGCTGCCAACTGACTCGCAAAAAGAGCAAATGAAAAATAAATAAATCTGGTTTTAGGGCCTAGATATTTCAAAGTGTTTGCCAATCCAAAGCAGCTTAGTCAATAAACTCCTAAACAAGGGGAAGATTTTATCACTCCTTCTTTATACCATGGTTATGGAAATACAGACCATAATAACGTATCAGAGTCATATTGCTTTTTATAATTGAATCATTTTTGTACCCTTTCTGTTTAGAGATTTAGGAGTTCAGTCTTTTTCCGTACATGTTCCTCTACATTATTTAAAATAATTTTACGTATATTTAGGTTTTATTTACTCATGTAGCATATGTGTAGAACAGACATTGATAGACTACAACCCCTATTATTCTCTGCCAGACAGGTTGAAAACAAATTATCCCGAATTTCAAATGTCCATTAAACCTTTTATACCGAATGACTGAAACATTCATTCCTTTAATGCTGTCTAGACACACACTTTATATTATTTTCTTCAATAATTATGACAGCTTCTATCACTGCCAGCCAGCCATATGTCTGAACTATATGCTATTCATCCTTGGTGTATGGAATAAAGATAGGCAAACTACAGTTTGGGCACGAAGAAAAGAAATAAAAAGGTCAGCAGATTATGGTGTGTTTAGGAAATATCTACCAAACTGTGATCAGAAAGCAAAATTTTGAAAACTTTCATCTGTTTGGAAACAGTTTAAAAACTTAAAATTGAATTGCTATAGATCTAAATTGTTATCCCCCACACTGCACTGCTCAGTCTGGTTCTTTCACAATAAGACCAGTCCTATCACACTGTTAGAAAGCTCAGTCCAGTCCTATCACAGTGTGAGAATACTCAGTCCAGTCCTATTACAGTGTGAGAATACTCAGACCAGTCCTATCACAGTGTGAGAATACTCAGTCCAGTCCTATCACAGTGTGAGAATACTTAGTCCAGTCCTATCACAGTATAGAAAATAATCCAGGCACTCCAACGAATTCCAAAGCAAAAGCAATTTTATTAGAACCAGAAACCAAAAGGCAACATTTCGAACCCCTTAGGGCCTTTCAGGGGTCAAAACGCTGCCTTTTGGTTCCTGATTCTAATAAAATTGCCTTTGCTTTGAAATTCGTTGGAGTGCCTGGATTATTTTATTTACTCAAAATTCCATGTTTGGTCCTTCCTGGTACTGGGACTTATCCATTAGAGCACCCTGAATTCCATGACGAAGGGTTGAGTGCACTTCCATTATCTACATACAGTCCTATCACAGTGTGAGAATACTCAGACCAGTCCCATTACAGTGTTAGAATGCTCAGTCTAGTACTGTCACAATGTGAGAATACTCAGTCCAGTTCTATCGCAGTGTGAGAATACTCAGACCAGTCCTATCACAGTGTGAGAATACTCAGACCAGTCCTATCACAGTGTGAGAATACTCAGTCCAGTCCTATCACAGTGTGAGAATACTCAGACCAGTCCTATCACAGTGTGAGAATACTCAGTCCAGTCCTATCACAGTGTGAGAATACTCAGACCAGTCCTATCACAGTGTGAGAATACTCAGTCCAGTCCTATCACAGTGTGAGAATACTCAGACCAGTCCTAACACTGCTCCGTCTGGTGCTATCACAGTGTTAAAATGCTCAGTCTGGTGCAATAGCAGTGTTGGAATGCTCAGTCTGGTGCCATTGCAGTGTTGGAATGCTCAGTCTGGTGCAATCGCAGTGTTAGAATGCTCAGTCTGGTGCCATCACATTCTTAGAATGCTCAGCCTGGTGCTATCACAGTGTTAGAATGCTCAGTCTGGTTCTCTTACACTTACAGTGTGAGAATAGTCAGTGAAGTACTATAAAAGTGTGAGAATGCATAGTCCAGTTTTATTACCGTTTGAGAATGATCCATTGAGTTCAAGTACAATGTTAGAATGCTCAGTCTGGTGCTATCACAGTGTTAGAATGCTCAGTCTGGTGCTATCACAGTGTTAGAATGCTCAGTCTGGTGCTATCACAGTGTTGGAATGTTCAGTCTGGTTCTCTTATGGTGTGAGAATAGTCAGTGAAGTACTATAAAAGTGTGAGAATGCATAGTCCGGTTTTCTTACAGTCTAAGAATGATCCATTGAGTCCAAGTACAATGTCTGAATGCTCAGTCCAGTTCTATGTTCTATTGCAGTGGGATAAGATTTGATTTGGTTCTAGGTTCTATTAAAGTGTGAGAATTCTCAGACTGGTTCTATAGTAATGTTTAAATACTCATTTTGGATCTGCAGTCTGTTAGTGTGTGAAAGCTCAGTTTTGTAGACACACTCCATGTACAATAGTAATTGCCACTTCGGGCCAAGTATATAATTTATAGTATATGAAATAAATATTTTTTTAAAGGATACAGTCAGGCTAATTCTAAACACAATATAAATAAATCACCACTGTTCGATCAAATTGAGTAATAATACAAAAAAATATACATAGTAGTTAAATATTAAACACTGTAACTAATCATTTTGTACATTGCTGCCCAGTTATAAAAACAGAAATTCCACATTGCTGAAAGAGAAGCATGTGACTGCCACCTAGTGGCTGTCACAGAAAAGTGCATTTATAGTTCAAGGGTAATATCAGCATTATTAAATTTTAAATCCAGAGATATTTATAAATAATGAGTTATGTTCAATCAGACCCTGATCTTGTTAAAGAAGTGCATTTAATATTTCCATTATATTTAATTATTTATTCTGGTAACTAAATATGATGCAAATCCACAGCGATCAGTTTCAGTATCCAATGGTATTTAGGCTGTATGCCTACATCATTACTACCGTTTCACTCAGGGTTTTTTTATTAAAACATGAATTTTCAGGAAGTCAATGTTAATTCCAAATTTATGCCAAAATAGCCAAAGAAAAATATTGCAGAATTCTGATCCGTTTATACAGTGAATAAACTTGTATATGCATGTAGGCAATATAAATGGTTTGCATTAGTTATTTTTTACATTTATAGTCAGGACTGTAAAAAGTGCACTATTTTGGGAGGAGGGATTCACTAACGCATGTAAACAAAGCCCGATCCATCGCAGAACATATTTGGAACATGGGGTGTCTGCTTTTTATTGCATGTCATTTTAGCAACTTTTGGGCTAGTTGAGCAACCGACCAACTAAATGTAGTTCACAATCATGTGTAATGCTGGGGTTAGCCATCACTAGTCTAGCAAGTGGCATTTCATCATGGGAAACGCCTCTTGCCATTTGATGCTGCTTCATTCTGTGGTCTAGCAATGCCAGCATCAGTGCCCGACAATACCCCATGACTGTCCTACCAAAGCCAGCCAATTGCATTATCATTATTTGCTTTCTTGTAAAATGCCAACATGGTCTATAACTGAGCTGTGTCTGTATTCTACATTAAGTGCTTCCTGTCTTAAAGCTGAGATTGCTATAAAGAGTTACAGATGGGCTTTATAGTACCCAGGTGGGATAGAACTGCTATACACATAAGAAAAATTGATCCTACATAATTTTATTTCTGGGTAGTAAGGGGACAGGGCCCCTTTGTAACTGGAAATGTTGGAAAGTCATTGGTTGCCCTACTAGGTATATTCAGATACAGGGAGTTGATATATTTAATTCTGCTTTTTTGGTCTACATTCTACATCTCCCCTGTCAACTCACCAGAATTCTGTTTAGCTAATAAGCTTCCTATTGATCAGTATGTGAGTGAGCATCACCCCTCAATTTTGACAACTCCCATTCCACGACCTGAATCATCACTCGAGGAAACGTTCTCATAGATCTTACCTTCAGGCAGCTATTTGTCTTGGCACTGCAAGACAATTCAAATCTTTTTATCAGGAGTCAGTGAAAAGAAAATACTGGCAAGTGATAGAACTTCCAGCCTCCAAAATAAGTCATTTATGTATCTGAATGGTCACAACTGTGATAATGTGCCACGGCTCAGGTCTGCCTGTTTTATATTGGCAGGAATCCCTTGCAAATTTGAACGTCAGTAAACAGACTTTATAGTTGTGACTGGGTTTCCCATAAGTGGGGAATTGTTGTCAGGTTAATATCAGGCATGTTGATGGCCTACGGATTCAGCTATGTCAACGCAGCAGGGAGTCAATGAAAACCTGCAGCTGTAAGGATAGCATCAGCCTTGGTGTGATAAATCCACAGGGGAAATCGCCGTCTCGCTGATATGAAATTGGAATGGAAAAGCAGAGGGAATATGATTTATTTTCCTAGGATGGTTTGCAGGACAAACTTCGATTCCCGGAATTGCATCTCATTTTTAAGTAAAGAATTCCAAGGTGTTTACTATTACTGAGTACTCTGAGATCGTTCCCAGAGAAAACATTCATCAGGAGCCAATGCTGAAAGCAGTATGAAGCTGAGAATATTTTATCTATTAAATAGTATGTCTATAAACTACACACATTGAAGGTTATTCACTAAATTGTGAACTGTGGAGAATTGACAATGAGATACACATTTCAAACGAATAACTGAGCTGGATAAATAGCTACTTATGTGGATGATGTATCCAATTGGGCTATTTTAGCCTTAAATGTGTGATTCTCTGATCAATTGTCAAAAATTCCTGGATTTAAATAAGTTGTGTGGCTACAAGTAAAGTTTATTAGTATTGGTTGTGATGTCACAGAGCTGGTACATGTTAGTGCATTGGCTGACTAAGAATAGTATGACCATAATGTGGCAAAATCTCCTTTTTCTCAATCTTACATTTTTTATTATTTTATTTTTTTGTGTTTACCTTTTTGTCATTTTTTTGAAGCAATATATTAACCCCTTAAAGACAGAGCTTCAAAAGCTTGTCTTTCACTTAATGACAACAGCATTTTTTTTATTTTTTGCTGTTTGCGTTCAACTGCAATTTGCATTTTACAAATTTATTGCACCGACACATATTATAGACCGTTTTTTAAAGGACAGAAAGGGCTTTCATTTGATGTAACATATATATGGGATAATTTTTTCTATAGTTTGTTCCAGGTGTAGTGGTAATGAGCGTTTTTAAATGTATTTTTTTACTTTTTTTTAAAAATGTTACTTTTAAAAACTAGTTTTTAAACTTTTATTTTGCTTATTAACTTTTTTAAACTTTCCTAAACTTTCTTAAAACTTTTTTTTACAGATTTAACATTTTTCTAAGCTTTTTTTTTTTTTTACCGTTAACCCCTAACTAGCCATAAGCAGCACTAACAGTAAATTCCCCATTTTCCCATAACTCCCACCCACCCGAGCTAGCAAAATATATAATTATAAAATATTTAAATTTATTTAAATTCAATTAAATAAATTGAACCACTGAGGGTTAAAAAAGAAATAAAAGTTAATCCTCAGGGGTTAAAAAAAATTAGATCACAGTATAATACTGTGATCTGTATTTTGATCACTGTAGGCAGTGTTCGACTGGCAGGGAAAGGGTTAATTTTTATTTGGACTGGGTAAAGGGTTTTTTTTTTTTTGTTTTGTTTTTTACTTAAACGTTATTAAAACATTTTTTAGCTTAATTTTTAACATATTAAAGTTTATTTTAAAACTTTTTTAACGTTAACCCCTAGTTAGCCTAACACCAAATCCCCCAATTCCCCACTAACTTCCACCCACCCCAGCTAACTAAATATATAATTTTAAAATATTTAAATTAATTAAATAAATTTAACCTTAAGGGTTAAAAAAAAAAAAAATAACCCTCGGGGGTTAAAAAAAAATCAGATGACAGTAAAATGTAATCCCTGCCAATTGATCACTGTAGTCAGTGATCAATTGGCAGGGAAGGGGTTAATTTTTTTAATAAAATGGGTAAAGGGGGGTGGGATTTTAAATTAACTTTATTTTTTTTTCAACAGTGGGCAGGATCATCGCTGATCCATCTCCCTGCACTTCACACAGAACCAGGAAGTGCAGGGAGGCAGAAGGTGAGTATATGCAGCACATGTGCTCGCTCTGACATGCTGTCAGAGCGAGCACATGTGCTGGGCAGCCTGATCGGGTGCTCCCGGTCTGCCTGTAATACAGAGGCAGACCGGAGCACCATTAACCCCGCAATAGCGGCGATCTGGGGTTAATTTTAACGGGTGACGGGCGAGTTAAGGGATTAATAAATTAATGTTTTCCTTCTTGAAAAACATCCTAGTGTGAACTGAAATGTTGACGGTTCTATCTTCATATATTTTCTTCTTTTCATTGTGTAAAACAGCTGGTTCTAGTCTGCACTATATGGGATATGATCAAAGAGTTTAACCGTTTGGATTTTGCTAGCACGTGGTTGTACATCTGGAGCAGCAAACTATGCTATATGAGTGGTCAGAATGGCAGAAGGTACTCTGTAATACCTAGTTTCTCTTATAGGAGTCTTGCTATTCTTATGGAAATGGTCCCGTCACAGGGCCCTGTGGGCCTATTTTATGGGATTTTTATTCTTATGTCTGTTATTTTAAGAAACCATTTCTGAGAAGGTGAAGCTTCATCAGCGGGGTTTGACGTGAGAGCAGGAAATTTGAGGTGTCTGATCGTTTTAGTTCTAACAGCTGGAATACCTGCCAATAAGTCTTAATATTCCGGGCAGGGGAGCAGCAAGGTATTTGCTGTCACAGTAAATCAAATGTTATTATCTCAGAAGGCAGAAGGCTTGGGTGTAACATCTGATGAAGTGATAAATCTGTCGATTGGTATCAGATGCAGCTTGGCAAGTTTCAACTTGGGGAGGAGGGAAGGGATTTAAATGCCTTGGCATACCACCACAAAAATACATTAAACTTAGGGTATTGCAAAAAAAGTCAGGCTAGCTCAATAAACTTAGACGTCAAGCACTTATAAAACATGACAATTAGATTTACATTTTTACTTCCTTGATAGGCACAAAAGGTAAATCCTGTATCCGCTGGCATGAATGTTTGTGGATACATGCAGTTTTCTGTTCATCAGCACCTGCCAGCTGAGAAGGATAGGCAGGCCCTGGCCAATCCGCTTGAGCTATCGCTAAAGCTGGCCGCATCCGTATTTTTTAACCCCCCCTCCCGACTCCACTACATCTTGTCACCCCCATATACCTCTAGGCCACCCATATTACCTTTTAAAAAATCTTTATTTTATGCCTGGGCGCCGCCATCTTTGTGTCGGTAGATGAAGGCCCTGTGGGACACGTCATCTGCCCACACTAGATAGCGCTGTGAAATTCCTGCACATGCCCAGTTAAAGACTTGAGCATTCGCTATTGTCCGAATATCGGACGGGAATTTCGTCTAATTATTAATTCGTCAGAAAGACTAATGAATGAATAGAATAGTCAGAAGAACAAACAAACTCTGAATATCGGTGTTCGTTTGTTCAGTTTATTACGAGGAAAGAGCTACTGGTGCGCAGCTCCCACCTTGTAATATGTAAAGATAGAACCGCCCCATGTCTTCCCTCACTCTATGGGGGTAACTATGATCCCCCATAGAGTGGTTGAAATCTCCCGAATGCCCCTACTCGCTATGCTGCAAGTAGGGGCATGTCTACTAAACCAAGACCCAAGTCACCCCCCTGCACCCAAATAATATTAAATAAAGCCCTACCTACCCCCCTCACCCTAAAAATAATGAGGAAGGAGACAATAAAACAATACCTTTAAATAAAAAAATACTTACTATTTGATGTCTTCTATTTTCTTAAACCTTCTTTTTTCAGCCGCAAAAAAGACCAAATAAAAAACCATAATACCCGTCAAACTTATAAAATAAAAATATCCCTCCCTCCCCCCAAAATAAATCCTGACACTAAAAAAATTCCATCTTCACCCAGCGAGGGCACCGCGCAGACTGAGCTCCGCAGGGTAGGGAAAGGCTTATAAAGTTCCAAAGAACTTTCCCACGCTGTGTAAAATGACTCAGAGCATTCTGATTGGTTGGATTCCAAGCCAACAAATCAGAGTGCTGTAACAGGTAATTGTAGAGACTTACCTCAGAGTGCTCAAAGTCAAATTGCAGAGTGTGGGAAGGCTTTATAAGCTTTTCCCCCGCCCTGCGGAGCTTAGTCTGTGCGGTGCCCTCGCTGGATGAAAATTGAATTTTTTTTTGCGTCGGGAATTTTTTTTTTGGGGCACTGAGGTTTTTATTTTTATTTTATAAGTTCGACGGATATTATGGTTTTTTATTTGGCTTTTTTGGGGGCTGAAAAAAAAAGGTTTTAGAAAAAAGAAGACATCAAATGGTATTTTTTACATTTAAAGGTATTAAGTTTTATTGTCTCCCCCTCATTATTTTTAGGGTGTCCCCACCCCTCTTATTGTAATTTAGGGCCCCCACATGCCGCTTATGGGTGGGGGACAGGAAAATAAGCCCCTGCCCTGTCGCTCATGGGTGGGGCAGGGGGGAGGACAATAGGTCTTCCCTCCCCTTATTGTAATTTAAAATCCCACCCGCCGCTTATGGGTGGGGGCCAAGGAGGAACCCTTGTCCCCCATTTAGTTGACTAGCCCCCCGAGCCCGACACTATGTCCCCCGCAGGCTAGTTAAGAGATGCCCCACTATTGGGGGGAGGGAGGTTATTTTTTTTACTTTTACAACAGTGAGCAGCCACAGGCCCCGTTTTGGGTTTGTCCAGTCTTTGCTTTTTGGGTTTTCTTCCCATGTACCCTGTAGGTCCATGGGGTACTTTTGCAGCACTGTGTTGTTGGAAACTGGGTTTATAAGCAGTGTGTACAGAGAGCCCATCCAAGTGCATCCGTCTCGTTCTCTTGCTAGGCTCGGCCTCCTGTATTTTTCCTTATATATTCCCTGGACTTACTGGACTCACATGCTCCCATAATCGTCTTGTTCTAACAGCAAAAGCAGTGCCTAGTTACTGACTGCAGTGGAATGACAGTGTGCCCTGTATTTTTGTGCAAGCCAAAGACATAACGAGCTTCTTGGAAGCGTACATGTTCTCATTAGTTTATCTTTGTGACATTCATGCTGGTGAAACCATTAATCATTTGTGATTCTTTGAGTGGTGTTGGATTCTCTCTGTAGCTTTAGATAAAGGAAATGTATGTCCTTATTAATTGGAGTTGACATTGTGATATTTCGAAACAGCATGGTATGGCAGAAAGTATAGCTCAAGTCCACATGCAGTGTACATTTACAGCCAGCAGGTGGAGCTATTTTGTCATATTTGGGTTAGTCAAACCTTGCCATCCACTGAAATGAATTATTTCAGACTAGCTCACGAAAGTGTGAATTGTCAGGAATTTGAAGTCATTTTAGACCAAAAGGCTGAACTGGAAAAATTCTAAAGTCTGTGTTTTCAGTACAGTTATTTTTGCCTAATATTTAAAATGTACTTTGAATTCCCAGCAACTGACACTTTATTAAATAATCATGTTTGTTTGCTGACTTGGTGATTATTATTATTATTGGTATTTATATAGCACCAGCTTCTCCTGCAACGCTTTAAGACCTAAACAGTGAAATAAACCTGTTAACAGGGTATTAGATATATTAGACTTTCTAATTCAAAGCAAATTAAAATTTTAGGTTAAAATTGCTGAATTGGAAACATTCTCCAAATCAACTATGTTTTCGATTAAACTATTTTGATCTAAAATTCAGAAATTACTTTGATTTCCCAATAATTCACGCATTAATAATTTATACATTTCCTGTTTTCAGCTCAATTTTTTAGTTTACTTTTAGTAACACTCAAAATTGCTGACCTTTTGAGAGGCTGAATACATCAGTAAATACAACCCTTCTACCTTAAAGGAACCCTATAGCTTCAGGAACACAAACATGTGTTCCTGACCCTATAGTGTTTAATCCACCATTTATGTTTCTTGCTCCCCCCTCCCGCCCCCCTACATTAAATTTTTTTTTTTAAACTCACCTTATTTCCAGCGCAACGCGGGTCTGCGGATGCTGGTCCAATCAGCATTGGATTGGCTAAAATCGACAAGGAGGCGGTATGTGGGCAGGGCCGAGCACTGTTTTGGCCAATCAGCACCTCCTCATAGAGAGGCATTGAATAAATGCCTTTCTATGAGGAAAAATCAGCTAAACGGCAGTGCTGCCTCCTGTGCAGCACTGTCCCAGGAAGCACCTTGAATGGCCACTTGGAGGTATTCCTAGAGGGCAATGTAAACACCGCCTTTTCTATGAAAAGACAGTGTTTATGTGAAAATGCCTAAAACCAATGATTATAGTCACCAGAACAACTACAATAAGCTTGTTCTGGTGACCATAGTGTCCCTTTAACTGGTCAATGTCTCTCTTACATACTGTGTACACTTTGGCTAACCTTAGGTAATTGCCCTCATTAGGGAGTCTGAAAGAATGTATGTGTCTGGAGTGGAAATCTGATTGTGAGAAACGTAGACTCCTTTGCTGTGAACAGGATATATATTTATGCAGCTAAAAAGTATTCTGTTAATTCTAGCTTAGTTTTACTATTGTTTGCATCTCATTTATTCAGCCCACTGATAATTATCTTTCTGTGTTTAGGTCTCACCTGGATCTTTGAGAATCAATGCGGTCATCTCTGCCTTTTAAACAAGTACGATGAAAGTAGAGCAACAAACCCAGGTTCGCTGACCTTTCACCTTAGAGAATGACTGACCACAAGCAGCGTTCAAAGAACATGAGTAAAACACGGGTGACAGACGAGCCAAGAGCCGTCCATCCCTTTTGAGTGATACCATGACGGGAGAGACAAAGCATGTGTACACCATCAACAACAAAGAACCCAGCTCCAAGGACTCCCACAGAGACACTGCCTTTGAACATTTCAACAAGAACGATGCAGTGGACAATTCCATGAGCCGGGTATCAGAAAGTTCTGATAGTGCCTTCAGTAGTGTAGCTGATAAAGGCCCTGAAAAAAATAGTAGAGAAAAGGAACCCCACAGTCAAAGGGAAGCTGTAATAAGACCCCAACAAGCAGGGAAAATTGACTTCAAGTCTCTGCAAAACAGGTCTAAATTTCACAGTGATGCATCGTGGAGTAATGGTAAAAGCAGCCCAGTGTCTCCCACAGGGAGAAGCCGGGGAAAAGACAAAAGTAAGAGGTCTGGTAAGGGAGACCGGACTCAACACCAGCTCTACAGACTCAGTATTACCAATACTAGGCCCAATCCTACAATTGGTATTGCATACCCCCAACAAAAGGTGACACAACCTAAAAATGTAGAAGTTAATCGAGGTCCTGTTTCGGGAAGTTATCGTTTTCATGTGCCTAGTCTTCCTGAGAGGGAGGCAGAACTGCAGCAGGAAGACCTCAACTTCAATCGATGTTTCCAAGAGTCCAGTCCAAGCCTCACCTCCACCAACTATACCTCACAAAACACTCCAGCTTCAAGAACTCATCATGGCATAAAGCTACAGCTACAGCCAAGCAATACTCATGAAGCACCCACCTCTAATGGGGAGCTGCATTATTTAGAATTTCAACCTAATGGAAACTCTTGGAATTCTTCTGAAAAAAACTTTAATGGTTCCTCCAACTACAGTATAGGAACTCAAAAACTTTGTCCATATCCTGAAGGCAATAAATCAGATTCTCACTGTTTCGGATCCATGCCATTTCAATATCCTTTTCAGCCTTTGCAGGAATCTAATGGGAATTCCTTTTGCAGCAATACAAGCAGTCAGGACTTTGTAGACGTTTCAAACCAAGTAGCACATGGTACATTCCCGTTTCAGTCGTCTTCAAGAGAAGGACCAGAGAATCCGCAGGGTAATGGGTCCTATAGCAATGGATTGCCAGACACTCGGACATACAGTCTTTCTTCTCAGCAAGCTCCGTTCTTGCATGTACAACAAGGGGTGCAACATCCACCCACACCCCAATGCTACACAGTAAGGAACGAACATCCCCCTGATCACAATGGTGCTATTTCTTCATCTGGTGCTGTATCTTCTTCTGGTGCTATTGATCAATCCCCAAGCACTTTTCAAGAAAACAAACCTGTTTTTATTACAAGTGAATTTAGTTTACATAGTAATAGTGTGCCATCATTAGTCAATAAACGACAACAGTCAGTTAAAGACTTTGCACCCAGTCAAAGACTTCTAACTCCAGGCAACACACTACGAAGGAACATACCACAATCTTCTCTAAACCAAGTGCACTTCCCCGGCAAGGTCTACAATGGTGTAAATACGGGATCTGTGCCTTTTGATAAAAGTATTTCCAGAATACCTCAGACTTGGGATGCAGGAAGTAAGACTTTCCCACCCCTGGACCAAAGTTCTGTATCGTACTCTAACTCTTCTGGAACTCTTTTACCCTATCAATGTCAACCTAATGTTGAACAGAGACCAGCACTGAAAAACGCCAATATGCCTTGGCAGCAGGTTCATCTTCCAACTGCAATGCCAAACCAAAATCGTATAGAGCTGCCAAGGCAAATTGGGAACCAAAAGCTCCCTTATCACCATGGAAATTCTGAATGGCCAAACAACAACAACTTGCTGCAGAAAATCCCACCTAGTTATCATGCTAAAAAACACCTAACAGTTGAGAGCATATCTGCACAGAGGATTGAGACAAGCAGACCGAGCTATAGTTCGACAAGTGGAATTTTTTATGATGGTGTGAAAGAAGCAAACTCTCAAGTATGTGATTCAAGAAACAAAGGCATTTTGTATGGTATGAATCAACCAATGCAACAAACAACGTCATCAAGAAATAATTCCAACCAATCAATGTCTTGTTCACCCAGTGAATCACCTCTTCCCTCACCTGCCACAAATCCTGTCTCTGGAAGCTCCTGCTCCTCTCTTTCTCCACTGTCCAGCAGTCCTTTGAATCATAGTTCAGATGATAGTCAAGTACAACAGACACTCACTTCTTCTCCTTATTTCCACCAGCCATGTCACCCTGCCGAAACGTTAAATTCTGGCTCTCTTATTTACCCTAATCCCGACTCTTCAAAAAACTTCAATTATTTGTCAGAAGCTTCAAAGGAGGACCAGTTGTACCAAAAACAAAGCACTGAGCCTGGGAAAGGGTGCCTTGATAGCTTTGAAAATGAACCACCACCACCATACTCCTCACATCACCTACTGGCAAATTCACTGAGCAGTGCAAATTTAGACCAGCTAGATGTTCTTCTAACATGCAAACAATGTGATCAGAATTATAACAACCTCCCATCATTCCTAGAGCATCGCCAGTACTGTAGCTTAAATTCCAGTGTTCACACTGAGATGAAGGATTCTTTACGTAGTGGAGAAGTAAGAAAGCAAGCTGTAGAGCCCAACAAGATATCTGGATTATCTCTACCAAAAGGACATCTGGAGGTCTCTCCACACCTGATTGGCTTTAACAAGGTTGTTGATTTTCTCCTGGACGGTGATGTCAAGGCAGATCCAAAAGATGATGCCATGAAATCTAATATTTTTCATAATTTAATATCAAGTTCTTTGCCTCTGACAGTCTGTGATACATTGGAAATGGATGATGCCAAGCTTGACAGTTTAATCACAGAAGCTTTAAATGGTTTGGAGTTCCAAGTGGATAACCCAGAAATAGATAGCAGTTTTATTGATGTTTTTGCAGATGATGAACTGTCTACAGCTAAGTCTACTGGAAGTGGGCTGCCTTACAAGTTTAAGGATTCTGTAGAAATTAAAAAGAAGCAAAGCGGTGTCGATGAAAACCAACTGCGTCATAATATGTTCCCAAATGTCTTTGAGGAGAACTATGACACAGACCCCTCACTGAACCACAGAAATCTGACAAAGAGGCAAAGCGAAACCAAAAAAGCAGAAATTGGAACAGTACATAAGTACTCTCTGGATGCAGAGAATAATAATATAAAGGATGTGACACCAAAAATACCAGATGATTGTGAGCTCCAAAAAAAGACTGAATCTGGAAAATGTGTTGAATTAGATAAGCAGCAGAAAGAGAGTAGTGACATCCTTAAACTTTCCAAAGACAAGGACCAAAAGATGTCTCATGGACGGAAAAGTTCAAAGAGAGATCCACAAGAGTGTCCAGTCACAGAGAACCAAAAGCCACGCAGATGCAGCATGAAGGATGTTAAGAAAAAAAAGTCACATAATGGTACCTGGAGTAAGGAGCTGATACATAAAATTGTTCAACAGAAAAACAAGCTTCACAAATTACATGTCAAGAGCAATAAACATGTACAATTTTCTTTGGTGACAGAAAGGCTCTTCCCTCCAGCTAAAAGTCACACCTTTGGGGAGTATGACTACATTTCAGATTCAGATGATGAAGCAGATTTAGCTGTCAAAAAGCAAATGGCAAATGGCAGGCTCAAATACAACTTTAATCGAGATCACCAAGGTAGGGCTGGAAGAATGAAAGAAAAAGAGACTGTGTGGAGAATGGGAGAGGCAACAAGGTTCCAGCTCCATAATAAAGATTTAAGAAGCAATAACAAGGAAACCTTCAACAGAGTTAGAAGAAGAAGCAGTCAATCCTCAACCAGCAGTGATCAAAGTACAAGTATCTCCAGTGAAACTGGTTCAAGCCCTAAAAGCATTGAACATACTGATTCTGAAAATGAGCAGGAGACTATGCTAAGACGTAAAAATGTTAACTCATCCAACCAAAACATAGCAGTGGAGAGAAATTTTGTAAGACCTCTCTATAAAGAAAGCCTCTTAGAAACCTTTTCCAAAGGCCCCAAGAGATTTGGATCTGCTAAATTCCTTCTTGCAGGCTCAAAGGTGTTCCCATCTAAAGTTAATGATTCAAAATATATTGGGGACAATGAAAAATCACAGCAAAGTCAAGAGATGGATGATAAAGAAGACAACAGCAGAAAAAGTACAGAGGGACTTCTTTTATATGAAGATGAGCATGAAAGCACTTGTCACAAAGAAGGCATAGTCATAAACATATCACAAGAGAATTATACTAACGATCTGCTACTGGATGTAGACAATGTACCAATACCCTTTTCATCTCTCCATGAAGACACAATACATTTTCAGACAAAGAAAGCTAATGTGTCCACTTGCATTCCAGCAGAACACAACACTGAAGTTACTTTAAATTACACCGATGCCGGTTTAAAATTCATAAAGGAAGGTATTTGTAATGATCATGAAACATTTTCAATGCCTGTTGGATGTTATAGTGGCGATTCAACAGAAAATGAGAAAAATCACGAGGCCTACAACAGTGAAAGTCAACAATTCCCAGAGCACGAAGATTTGCCAGATCTGTATGGTAATAATCTTTTTCCTAAAGCTCAACATGTGGCACCCTCAGAAATTGGCAAACTCTATCTCAATCAAAGTAACCCCAGTTCCACCAATAATGGTTCATTTGAACACAAGTGTTCACAACTACCCACCTACTCTACAGATAATAATGAACATAAAGTATCATCGACCCTTTCATTTGACTCCTCGTCGATATTTTCTGAGTTGCCTATGTCAGATTTTGAAGCTCCTTTGTTCAACAGTATCCAACCTACGAAAGATACTTATGTAGGATACACATGTTCCAATGAACAGTCCAGAAAGCCAACACATTATGAGCAGCAATACCCACAGTTTTTGCAACAAAAAAATTGGGGTTTGAATGAAGGCCCATCATTAATGGCTAACACCATCATTGCCCCTTTTCCAGTGGTAGAAAATCAAAGTACAGAAAAATACATTGAACAGATGCCTGCATCGTCTGGACCAATGGCACTAGCCCTGTCAGACTCACTGGGTGATTACAATGCTTCATTTATAAATATATCTGAGGATGAGTTAGAAATCAAAAGACTTGTTACGGAGCTAGAAAACCAACTTCAAACAAACAATATGCACAACAATGTGTCTTCCCAGGCATGCCCCAAAAATCAGACTAATGCAGATCTATCAAGCACAACTGTTCCATTTCCAGACACAACAGAAAATGCAGTTGAAAGCTACAGTAAAAACTTGTATCTTGAGGATTTTAGTAGTTTGAGTAATCCCACTCATGTGGAACAGAACCTCCAGGAATGCCAAGCACTTGCCAAAGTTGAAGATAACTGTGGCAGTCTCAAAAACCCATGGACGTGCTCAGTTCAATTTGACAGCTTTCCGTCTAGCATCCAGTGTCACAACCAGTCAAGTTCCCTTGAGTCTTTCAATCACACAGATACAGACAGTCAATACCCAGAAACTCTAAATGATGTGACAGTAACAGAAAAGTTGGATTCCCTCAGTAGTAATCACAGATCACCTTCTGTATTACCCGATGCTTGCCTTCATGACATTGACACCCAATCCACATGTCAAGCATTTTCTGCAAGCACTCTAATAAGGGACACACTGGTCACTGCTGAAACCTTGCTTTCTGGCAAGGAAGAAAATGAAATGGTTATTGAAAATGACACTCAACAGAATGAGCCGGATAATTTGTTTCTAAAAAAGGAGCAACTTGAAGAGAGGTTTGATGATCCACCTGAACTTGAACCATTCCAAAGTGTTTCAGAATTAAATTCAGAGTTCAGTGCACATGACTGTGATGTCCCTGTTTTAAACAGGACATCACCTCCTTTAAAAAATGAGAAATCCCCAGGTGGTGTATTATCTGACCCTGGATTCAGGGATGAAATTCCAAGTTCTGCAGTAGTGGAAGAATATAACTTAAACTGTCAAAAGGTGAGTGAAAAGGAAGGACCAGTAGACATCTCCAGCTCTAGAGACCAACAAAAGAAAGACAAAAGAAAGCCAGCACCTCTTGATATGCCTGTTTTGGAGAAAGAAGAAAGTGCCATAACTGAAAAGTCCTCAACTAACAAAGATTCAACAGAAAATCCATTGCAACAGCTCCAATTATTTGTGGCAAGGACAGCCAAAAATAATGAGGAAGAAATGTTAATGCCATGTTTCCCAGTGCTGTTAGCTACATCATCTCATGTCAGTCCTCAAGCGGACATAGAATGCGATTCCTCTTCCACCCCTGACAGCAAATTAACATCTAAGGCAGCTAAGAGCAGTGACATAATTGAGATTGAAGATGTACCAGATTTGGCAGAAACAAGCATGCCTTCAGCAAATATTAAACAAATGCATCCTCTTGCAAATGAGAAAACAAGTGCCTCTTCTGAGTCTCTAAGCAATGAGGCACAAAATGAAGTTACACAGTCACATTTCACAGAAAATGAATGTTCCAGATTGGATGTCATTAATATTGACCATAGAGAAACCGCACATGATAGTGATCCGCTGCCTCAAAGTAATGATACAGAAAATCTGGTTCGAGAGCAGGCCAAGATGGATGACAAGATGAAGGCTCTCATGAAGACTGATAGAAATAAAGCAGCTTTAACAATGGATATAAACCAACAATCTACCTATGCTTTTGATGATCAAGCCTTTGCTGTTTTTCCACAGAATACTCCTACCGTGCCCTGTATGGGAATCACTTCGCCTCATAAATCAAACACTGGATATCAGTTACTTTGTGGCCTAACACTTGAGGTGATAGATAATCAAGTGTCGCAAGAGAAGAATATCGATGCTTCTGTTTTTACAAGTCCAGGGAACCAAAAAGATGTTATTAATAATATTCTTCAGGAAAAAGAGCTTATTATGACAAATGGTGAAATCTGCAAAGAGGCTTCTCCAGTAAGGCAAGATAAATCTGATGCTTCAGTGTTTCCTGATGAAATATCTGGCCAGTTTCCTTTGCATTTCAATCAGCAGAAATCTTTGCACAAAAGAAATATAGACTATCAAACTCAGCTTCCAGAAATGAGTAGCCCTAACCCACATTCTCCATTAGACTTTGATCTGTTTGCACATCTTCCATTAAAGACATCTATCTCAAAATCAGATGGGTATTGTCAATCATCTGAAAACATCATGTGTCCTGCAGAAGAAGAACCAACACCCAGCAGTCCAAACTGTCCAATAAAAGTTAGCAACTGCAAAGACCAATCAGAGAAACATTCATTAGTTGGACCAGATGTGCTGCTTTATCTTGGAGAAGATAGATGTTTGACATCGTCTTTGGATATGGGTCGCAAACCTTTAACCAAAAATGAAGGGCCAGTTTCACCAAGTGCCAAAGGGAATATTTGTTTTTGCAATGAACTAGTATGTCCTCATTACAAACAGCCAGAGACATGTTCTGCAGCTGATGCAATTCTTCAGTGTGGATCACTCCCTTTGAGTAATGGATATCCAATCTTTGCTGAGACAGAGTGCCAGAAGTATTCAACACTCAGCAATGAGCTTTTCACAGACCATATACAAACTGTAGCAGACCCACCCCTGTGTTGTCAAAAAGATGATGGCTTGAAGTGGGATAGTCAAAAAGGTGCCCACATAAGTCATGCGTTTCCAAATGAGAACCATTCAGCTGCTTTGGTTTGTGACCTGATAAACATTACAGAGTCCAGTTATGTAGATTTAAGCAACCCACAAATCTCATTAGCTGCAGATGGAAGAATCGCACAGGCATCCACAATCTGCATCTCTGCTGAAACCCACAGCAGTGTTGCTGACACAGAGAGAAAATGTCCCAATGACATGGACTCTGTTATAGATGGAGTACTCCGAATTCTAGATTGTGATAAGAGCAAAGAAATTCTAGAAAGCATTGGTATCCCATCCAGGAATAGTCCCCTAAAAGAAAAGAAATCAATTGAGCAATCACTTATATGTGATATCTGTTCTATGTCCTTCAGATCTAAACCAGGTCTGTCAAGACACAAGGCAGCTAAACATAACATGAAGAATGATGGAACAATGATAGCACACAAGGATGGTGCTAGTGAAAATGGTAAAAACAAGGATAATTCTTCAGGGAACATTGAACATGATGTTCTGCAAAATTTTATTTCTGATTCAGTGTCTCAGAAACCAACAACAGAGCTACTGGGCCAAGAAAGCAACATCCAAATCCAGTATTTGATTTCAGAAGAACAGCAGAGGCCTATATCAACAAAATCCAAAGAGGAAAGCAATGGACCAAGTGATGACACCAGCGGTGTTGAGGTTACTGGCAGAAAGAGGTTGATTGGCAGAATCAAAAAAAGAAAGATTAAGACACTATCAAATAAGACTACAGATTCTCAAGTTCCATCTGATGATATTTTAAACATCCTTAAAACCAATATTTTGAAGGCTATAGGACAATCAAATGGCTTTACGTCTGTTGAAGAAAAGACTACATGGACACAGCCTGCAGATACAGACAAAGCACAAGAAGGAACTAAGGCAATTGTTTTAGAAACCTATTCTGCTAAACAACATTATGTGGAGGAGGAAAACGTAAAAGGCAATATATTAGATATTGGAATTAATAAAGAACTTTTAGCTGGTGAACTAAAGTGGGCCAAAGATTTAAAAAGCCAAATTGAAAACACTGCAACTAATATTTGTGATACTGAGCATGCAACAAGATTGTCAACAAATGCTGAAACCTCCGTAATTGAAAAAACTTTACTGTATCCTCCAAACAATTGTGTAGAGGGACACTCAACAGTACCTGAATCAAGACTAGGCCAAAAAGATTTACCAGTGTCTATTGTACCTAAGCACGTTGAGCCTGATCTGCATAGCTTGTTTGATGATGATAAAAACTTCTCACAACTCTTTCCACGAGATGATCATTTCATTCGAAGGAAGTGCACACGTGTTTATGGGAAAAAAACTAAACGACAATCCCCACCTTTTAAAACAGACTTTAAAAACATAGACCTTGTGGAACCGAACAGTTTGACCCAAGCAAAAAATAACACTTATGAATATGGAAACATTTTAGTTGATGAAAATTTGGTAGGCAATAAAGGTTCCTTAGGTCATACAGAGCCTGATTCTGAGTTTAGGTCCATTAGTCCAGTGAAAGAAAGGATTAGCATTGATGACAGTGGATTACTACCATTTTTACCACAAAGTCAAGCAATTGAAAACTTGACCGGTCGATCATTGTCTGAGGAAAGCCAAGATGGAAAAGATCTGGATATATCCTTTGAAGATGCTCTCTTCAAGTCACCTGAAGTATCTCACAGTTCATTTACAGAAAGGAGTTCAAGAATGCAAGATTCCGAATTAGAAGAGGTATTTGACTGCAAAATGGGTGAAGAAACAAGCCTTCCTGAGTTTCCTACAATTGACATGAAAATGCTTAGTGCAAAGTTTGACATGAGAGAGCTGTCTTTCTTCAGTGCATGTGGAGATGACTCTGATCAGTCTGATGCAGATAGGCCAGATACCACTCGAAAGACAGAAAAACATAAAAGGAACGGCAGAAATAAAATGGAGGATAAAAGGCAATCACGAACTCGTGGTAATGTGAACATCAAGACAAAGGAGAAGCAGTACAAATGCAAAGTATGCTTTCAGTGGTTTCTTACACTGGGAGAATTAGATTTCCATAAACTAACTCATAATCCCTCACCCCCGCCTACTTGTTACATGTGTGTACAACGTAAGTTTAGTTCTAGAGAACAGTTAAGGGATCATCTTAAAGACAAGCATGCAAAAAATAAGGCAGGACTCTGGATTTGTGGAATGTGTTTAAAAGAAATCTCTGATGTCTGGATGTATAATGAGCACTTGAGAGAACATGCCACCCAGTTTGCTAGGAAAGGACAGGCTCAGAAAACGGTCATGGGTATTCCAGGTTGTTTTGCTGAGGACAACTTAGTGAGAACATTTCTCAGTACCTTCATTTACAGAACCCCTGCTAAATCCTCAAAGACTTCTGAGCCTGAGGACAAAAGCCCTTCAGGAAAAAAACAAGACCACAAAGATCATAAAGATGAAGAAGAACATGTTACTGAGAAAGAACAAGAAGGCAGCACTTCTAATGCCTCCAACACATCTGTCCATGTAAAAGTGTCTGTTAGTCCTCTGTTAGAAACAATACAAAAGACTGAAAGTGTTCAAAAAAATCCGGCTATTCATCCTCACTGCAAAGATCCCTCCAGAGATTGTCATCATTGTGGAAAGCAGTTTCCAAAGCCATTCAAGTTACAACGGCACTTGGTAGTTCACAGCCTTCAGAAGATCTACCTGTGCCACAAGTGTCCTAAGTCATACCAAGAAGTCCATGAATTAAGAAATCATTTGAACAGTGAACATCAGCTATCAGAAGAGACGGAGATAAAACACACGACACTCTATGCATGTGAACTCTGTGCAGACGTCATGCACGTTATAAAGAAGTCCTTTATCTGCAGCACATGCAACTATACATTTTCTAAGAAGGAACAGTATGACAGACACATGGAGAAGCACTTAATTGGGGGCAGTATGACTTTCAAGTTTCGTGGTGTCATGAGGCCATGCTTTGCAGGAAAGGAAGTCAAAGATAAAATCAAGGAACCTTCTTCATATGAAGGCATGCCACCTAGCAAAAAACAGAAAACATATAATTATTCAGAAACTCCACCTGACATAACTTGTGCTGATATTAAGAACAACAAAAATCAGTCTCCATCTGTACAACATGTGCTCTCACCTGCAGTAATTTTGGATAAAGAAGTTAAAGATATAGCAGAAACCAAAGAGGACATAGCTGTAAAAACTGAAGACATGGCTGGAGATGTCTCTTGCTCTATATTGCCGCTACATACTAAAGTGGGCAATCCTATAGAAGAGGTTAGTAATGTTGCCGATAATGAAGAAATTAATGTATCACAAACTGAAATTACTTTATCCACTTTACCTACCACAGCAAATAATGATCTGATAATCCAAGATACCGAATCTACTCAAGAACCACAGCCACCAGCTCTATACCTGACAAATCCAGTATACATGGACACAGCACAGAAGTCACCACTACAAAACCAAGAAAAAGACCTAGCAGAAGTATCTGACATGGGATCTCCACTAGTGATGGCAGATGATCTTCTTTGCCACTTGCTGTCAAGGGAACCGGCAGAATTGTTTGCATCAAACAATGAAATGTCAACAAACATGGTTTCCAATGAAGATATGCACTGCCCCCAAACGGAATCTGTAGTTGTGGAGAAAGAAGATGCACTAAAGTCACAAACTCTAAATGGGGCAGTTGTAACTCCAGTGCTGTCTAAAGTAAAGTCGATAACTTCTGATGGAAGTGGTTCTGTGAAAGACCTGAAAGGCCCAAAAAAAAATAAGGGTGGTGGCCAAATTAACAAGTCTGTAAGTGGAGGTGAGGGTGTGTCGAAATCCAGTGCACCAAAACTAAAACCTGTGACGGAGTCTTATTCTGTATCAAAGGATAGCAGTGTTTGCACTTTGAAAGAGACAGTTGGAGCCCACCACAAAGTATCGAAAAAAGAGCCAATTGTATATCTTCCAAAGCATAACAGTGTTGATTCTGTTAAAATGGATGATAAAGCTTCTACAGCATTGACTAACAAAGTACATCCAAAGAAACGTAAGGAGCACAAAATTTCTGGTCACAAGGGTGGCTCAGCTTCCCGGGAGAACATGGCTGGAGAAGTAAAGAAAAAAAAGAGCATTGTTGGAGGAAGTGGAAAGAGTGATACATCTGGTGGTGGTGTGAAAAAGCCAGATTATACAAGCACAGTGTCGGCTTTTTCAGAAATTAAAGATGAGACTTTGTGTAGCCGGCTCACCCCTAAGCCGCACACAGGTATAAGCAACGGACAATTGAAAAAAATGGTATTGGACACGCACAACCAGAAAAAGGCCACCTCTCGATCTAGCAATGGAGAATACAAATGTAAAAAGATTTTTCAAAACAAAACTTTACAGCCATTCTCTCCCAAAAGCTCTGCGCTATCGCTTATCTCTTCACAAAAGCGCAAACAGGGACATAGCATGAAACCCACTGAGCCATCAAATTATAGGACCGCTGAATCACAGAACAATTTGTTAAGTCAGCTTTTTGGGCAAAAGCTAACAAGCTTTAAAATTCCTCTAAGGAGGGATATTACTGAATAACAGTGGACAATATATGTCCTTCCATATAGGGTTAATTGAAAAAGGAACAAAAATAAATGGACTGAAATAAAACATCTACAAACTTATTTTTATATATTTTAACATTTTGTTTGTATCTTTACTTTACCCATCAAGCTTTGCCAAACTTTGCACTGCTGTCTGTGTAAAATAGTTCCTGTTGTGTACTATAGTCTACTTTTAATGTGCCTGGTTTTCTCATGCAAATTTTGGTATATGATTTCCAAAAAGAAAAGACATTTGAATTGCTCTGGGCAAACAGATCACCAGTGTTCTATTTTTTTACCTTTTGTACATAATTTAACTTTTTCTCTCCGACTCAAGGGCTGATGTAACCGGCTTCAAACTATACTCTGTACTTTACAAAATCATATATAATCCTCTTGTCATTTCAATGTAACCATCCATTCCCTGCAAATCAACATTCAAATTTTTTAAGACTGTGACCATAATTCAATTAATAACTAAAAATATGGAAAATTAAATGCACTTCTGGGATTATACATGGGGCTAAAGTGAGAATTTTCAACATGATTTTACAAATGTCAAATACTAAAAACTCTTAGGTGAACTCTGTGTTTCCGACCATCTAGTTTAAATGGACACAGCTCATTGAAGTTGTCTGGGAGCAATGTCTCTATTCCTCTCATTTCTGCAATGTAAATAATCAATGTTTACATTGCAGTACTAAGACCACCTCTAATGGCTTTCAATCAGACAGCCACCAGAGGTACTTCCTGCGACTTTTGGTGACCTGATACCTTACTCATACAGGACATCCTCAAGCTCTGTAAAGTCTCCATAGAAAAGCATTAATTCAGTGCTTTCCTATGGGGCGGGCATAATGTGCTTGCAACGCTAACCGCGCATGTGCATTAGCCCCTCCATAGGAGGAGGCGGAGGTCCGTTTTTAACTCTTACAGTACTGATGGGAGGGGCGGTCCGAGGGAACTATAGTGGAAGAAATACAGATTTTAATTCCTTACACTATAGTATCCCTTTAAGTGCTATTGAAACTTAGACACAGTGTTTATATGCTCTTTTTCCTCTGGCTTGACGGGATCTGTTTAATTTATATAAACAGCATGAAGAAATTGGTATGGGCTATTTAGCGTTACTCCAGTAATATAAATGCCCAGACTTGTATAACACTGTTATAATACCCCTTTAACACTGTTGCGGACAGCTTGACGTCTGTAAAATAATGGCCTTCTATTCTCTATTAATAGACATAAGTTAAGTGTTAGTTTGAACATGTAGCATTTAGAGAGATGTCCTCTCCTGATTTCCCACCCCCCAGCATTTTAGAGAAAATCCTGTTGTTGGTACTGAAATTTGAATGGGTATTTGTCTCTGTCCATTTTTTATAACAACAACAAAACATACCAGTCCTTTTAATTTTAACCGAACTGGATGTTTTGATTTTTAAGCATATGGAAGTGTTTTCTCTTTAAGATTGGTGCACCCCTGCTCTGATGTACACAGTATTGAAGCTAGTGTTTGGGGTATTCTGTTAATCAAAGGGAGAATGATTCTGCTACTCTACTACTTTAAGGCATGAGAAATGTGCTGGTCTGTGCAGTACATTCCATTACGATTTCATAAATGGTGCAGGTATTCAGTATTGTACTTTACTGAGTACATTCTGTTTAGACCCTGATTCTAGCAAACTGTAGCAGCATTAGCCAATAAACAACATATTCACTTTTGCTTTTATTATATATTATCTGTTTTGTTTGTAAAATTGTGGGCATGTGCAAAACAATAGCACTGTTTTTGTTTTGTTTAGTTTTTTTTACTAATGGTGGACCCCTAAACACACAGAATGGAAATGTTTTCTTTCAGAATGGGAATCTCTTCATAGGGAATTAGACACGTTAGCGAGGTCAGCCAATTCCTAGCTCTGCAATTCAGGATTGGTTGGGAGAGGGGGCCGGGCCTCATAACACCATTAAAGACTCCGTATGACACATTAAAATGCATTTTGCTCTGTGTTCTTCGAAGTGAATATTTTAATACTGAGTGCTAAAGCCTGCAATTTTAAGCTTAAAAAAATAAAACCCTCTTTTCCCACCAGTTACATATCCTGAGTTTCTAGCCAAAAATGTCCTACTGTTTTGCTCTCATACTCCATTTCTGTGACCACTGTATATATTTTAATATTAATCAGTATTTTTCTAATACTACATAATTTACAACACAAATAACTGTTGTGACAGCTGCTGTTAACCCATTAACATCCGCACTGCTATTAAAGCCTGTGACTTAGACACTGGCAAAAGGAGTGGTTAACCCTTCTAACACATTACAGGTGCCCCTAACTTTGAAGGACTTTACAAAATTTCCATGTGCTTGACAATCTTACTGTAACATGCTCCGAGAACCCGTTGCTTTTCTAAATAAAATTCCATGGTGCTATTTGTTCATAGAACAAGTAATGTGAAAACAGACTGAAATATTCATTGTTTAGTGCCGGTACAGTGTTAAAATCACTCCACACTCTATTTGAATTTATTATTTTATATTATTCATTTTTAACTATTATTATATGTCAATGAGAAAAACCGAAACTCAGGTGCAATGGACATTTATCCTGGTTGTACGGTAAAGCTCTAACAATCATGACCAATCTAAGGCACTGATATAGCTCACAAGGCCTGAGTACTCTGCACAGATCCTGAGGAACATCCAAATACGCAAGGCTTTAACCTGTTAATATGTATCATTAAAGCTCATTGTATTGTATAAAAAAAAAAATATTCTAGTTATTTGGTGCAATGCATACTTCAAAAGATTTTATTTTGATATTTGTGTCCATAAAAGCAGAAAATGCATAAATGCCTTTTTTATATTGTAATTTTGTATGACTTAAAAAAAACGCATCTTTATAATGTTGTTAAATAAAATATGAGATGAAACTATACAGTAATAAATGTGTTTTTCTTCCTGCACTGCAAAATAGCTCTCCACATCTCTCACAGTACAGAGATGATGAATCATCAGAGCATAGGAATATTGTCTGCACAAATTTATTTTTACACTATGTTAAGTAGATATAACCCCAGTGAAAACATGCATGTATTTAATAATGCAGTTTTTCATTGGTGATATATCTAAAATCAGCTTGCAAAAGCTGCAGTTCTCTTGTCTGCAGCCTTTGCAAGCCCTCCCCTTCTAAACCCGCCCAGACTTTCTGTGGCTGTCCAATTACAGATTTCCTATGCAGCTCAATGAGAATTCTTTGCAAGGAAGGTGTCAGTCTCTTCAGTTTAGCTACAATGAGCTAAACAAATCAATAAGTAACAGGACTGGTTGTTTGGTTAGCCCAGAGGGGTGTAACAAGGTAAATGTATAAAAGTGTTTGAAGAGTTCCTATGTAAAGTGTCAGAAATGCAATATGAATTTAACATTTTAGACCAAAAGACCCTGCTTTTACAGCAATTCGGCTATTTTGGCCTTGAATTCCTGACCGTTCACACTTCACTGAGTAAACTTGACTGTTCCTCTGTCACTTCTTCACAACTTCCTGTTTTGAGAATAAGTCCAACATTGTTAATAGGAAAGAGAATGAATTTGCTTTCAGCTGCAACTATATTCTTATCATACTTATCACCTTACACTCTTGGACCTTAAACATTTAATGCTGAAGAATGAGAAATTCACTGTACTAGATCAGATCACATGTTGATCCGGATTACAGGTTGCTAGGCTGACTGTTTTCCTGGACACATTTTTTTATGTGTACCTGATCTGCTACCCTGTAGGACGTAGTAGTGACCTGGAGGGAAAGTGACATGGGAGGGATTGAAGTAGAGGGAAAGTGATATGGGCAGGCAGATGTGCGGTATAGGTAGGACTGAGGGGGGCGGTAAGTGACCTGGGAGTGATTGAGGGAGAGGGCAAGTGACATGGGAAGGACTAAGTAACATGGGAGAAAGGGCAAGCATACCTACCACATGTTTCTATTTAAGAGAGTCCGCACTAATTTGGGACCAAATCCATCTGCCTAAATTTGGAGCATCTCATTTTTGAAGCTCCATATTGTTGCTTGGTTTGGATTTATAACAGAGATCCACTGCAGTAATACAATATTATCTTTAAAGAGACACTATAGGCACCCAGACAATTTCATCTCATTGAACTGCTCTGGATGCAGTGATCCTATCTATATAAAAACATTGCAGGATTAAAACTGCCTCTAGTGATTGTCTACCAGGCACACGCCAGAAGCACTATTTATTTAGAGTTTACCTCCATGAAAGAACGCTGGACGTCCTCATGCTTTGGGGGGAGTGGTGGGGGCACGGAGGCATAGGGACACTTTAGTGTTAGAAATTCAGGTTAGTATTCCCAACACTAAGGTTCCTTTAACCCCTTAAGGTCAGTGGGCATGCTATGCCATTCTTGGGGACCCAGCTCTAAATGTCGGCGGGCGGCATAGCACGTCCCCGCCGTCCTATGTACTTACCTGGTCGAGGGCGATCACGGTGGGGGGACTCACCTGGCATTCCAGGGAGTCCCCTTGCTGCCGTTCTGGCCCTCCAAGGCCATGTAATCACAAGGTCCTTGCAAGGACCTCACGATCACATGGACGGCATAGCCGTCCACAGCAATGCCAACACGGGGAGTGCCTGTAATTACAGGTACTCTCCCTGCTGCCTGTAAAATGTAAAATAAAAAAGTCCTTAAAACACAGTTTAAAATGAAATATATACTTAGATCATATCTATATATTTATTATATATATGATCTAAGTATATGTATACACATAAACTGTCTAAGTGTATTTTAATATTAATATATATATATAATTTTATATATATTATCAAAATACACGTAGAATGATATTGATTAAATATATTTATATATAATATAAAATAAATATGTAAATACATTAAAAAATAAAAAATATGTGTAATTTCATTCTAACTGTATTTTAAAATTTATATATATATATCTTTATACACCTATATATAAATAAAAATAATTTTTAATATATATATATATATATATATATATATATATATATATATATATATATACATATATACACACACACACATCCGTATATATATATATAATAATTTGACATATTTATGTAATCATTTTACATAATTAGGCCATTTAACTCATTATAATTTGCGGGACCAGCCTGCCAACCCAGGCCAAAAGTCCAGGGAATTAAATTTTCTAGCACTATATTTAACCCTGTAACTTTCCAAGACACCATAAAACCTGTACATGGGGGTTATTGTTTTACTCGTTAGACTTCGCTGAACACAAATATTAGTGTTTTAAAACCGTAAAATGTATTGTATATGTAATGTATATCGTCAGTGAAAGTGAAATTTTTTGCATTTTTCACACACAAATGGCACTTACACTGACGATATTGTTGTGATTCGTTTTACTGTTTTGAAACACTAATATTTGTGTTCGGTGAAGTTTCCCGAGTATAACAATACCCCTCATGTACAGGTTTTATGGTGTTTTCAAAAGTTAGAGAGTCAAAATATAAGGCTTGCGTTTCAGTTTTTTCACATTGAAATTCGCCAGATTGGTTACGTTGCCTTTGAGACTGTATGGTAGCCAAGGAATGAGAATTACCCCCATGATGGCATAACATTTGCGATAGTAGACAACCCAAGGTATTCAAATGGGGTATGTCCATTTTTTTTTAGTAGCCATTTAGTCACAAACACTGGCCAAAATTGGCGTTTAAATTCGTTTTTTTGCATTTTTCACACACAAACAATTATTAACACTAACTGTGGCCAGAGTTTGTGACCAAGTGGCTACTAAAAAAGACTGGACATACCCCATTTGCAATACCTTGGGTTGTGTACTATTGCAAATGGTATGCCATCATGGGGATAATTCTCATTCCTGGGCTACCATACGGTCTCAAAGGCAACCTAACCAATCTGGAGAATTTCAAAGTGAAAAATGCAACATGCTATATTTGATCCTGTAACTTCCCAAAACACCTGTACATAGGGGGTACTGTTTTACCCGTGAGACATCACTGAATACAAATATGTGTATTTTATTGCAGTAAAAGCAAACCGTAATATGACATTCACAGTTAAAAGGTCGGGTAGAACTAATTTTTTTTTTTTTTTAATTATTTACTTCCATTTTTTTATATTTTGTTCATAATAAATTGTTTCATACCTAAATATTTGATGTTAAATGAAAGCCCTGTTTCCCTGAATAAAATGATATATAATAAGTGTGGGTGCACATAATATGAAAGAGGTGAATTACGCCTGAACAGCCATATAGTGCAAATTCCAGGTTTTGATCACAACGTGTACATTTGGCTCAGTCCTTAAGGGGTTAAACTACAATAAATGTGTTTTGAAGCCATTCTGTGTAAATAAGATACATTGTTCTTGCCCTAAATTACATTTTAGTTGCATAAATTGTTGTTAAAGGACCACTATAGTGCCAGGAAAACATACTCGTTTTCCTTGCACTATAGTGCCCTGAGGGTGCCCCCACCCTCAGGGACCCCCTCCCGCCAGGCTCTGGGGGAGGAAGGGGTTAAACTTACCTCTTTCTCCAGCGCCGGGCGGGAAGTTCTCCTCCTCCTCTCCGGCTGAATGCGCACGCGCGGCAGGAGCTGTGCGCGCGCATTCAGCCAGTCCATAGGAAAGCATTCACAATGCTTTCCTATGGACGCTGGCGTCTTCTCACTGTGAAAATCACAGTGAGAAGCGTGGAAGCCCTCTAGCGGCTGTCAATAAGACAGCCACTAGAGGCTGGATTAACCCATTTATAAACATAGCAGTTTCTCTGAAACTGCTATGTTTATAAAAAAAAAAAAAAAAGGGTTAACCCTAGAAGGACCTGGCACCCAGACCACCTCATTAAGCTGAAGTGGTCTGGGTGCCTATAGTGATCCTTTAATAAATCACCTTCAATTTCTCAGGACAGCCTTGCGCATGATCACACGGCTTAAAATGTTCTGTCTATTTTAATTTCAAATTTTGGTTGCTACCGGCTAAGTGCATTGGAAAGAAAGAATAGTGTAGTATGTAGTAGTATGTAGTATTACTATGCTGCAGCAGGGAAGTTTGCTAACTAATCATGACATTCTTGTCAACATTGTCAAGTACGCTTACAGGAGGGCGCTGGGCCTGCATGTGGGCATCCCAGTTCCACAATTTTTATCAAGGCTCCTATTTACTCTTAATGGTGACAGAAGGCAAAAATGACATAACTCACTCCCTATCATGGGAAGGGGTACCTGAGAATACTGGCACCTAGAGACTTGTACTAAAACCTGGCTAACTAAGCCAATTAGTTGATACAGCCATTCATAAATAAGATCTAAGACAGGGTTCTTCAGGATTAGCATATATGTAGTTTGTACACATGTAGCATATGAATGCTACATTCATACAGCAGTGATCTCCAGGAAGACAGGGTGAGTCTGGCAGCTCTATGTAGGAGATGTTTCTCTAGTGAGGTGTACTCAGTATGTATATACACACTGCTCTCTGTATATTCTGTTTTATTGATTGTTATAGGGCCAGCTATATTCCCTCTCTGTATAATAACCAGCAATAATGCGACTAACAATAGCCTTTCCTGCCATTTCCCCATAATAAAGGGCTGAGTGGGTCCTCCTTGGAGGGGTTTGGCTCATATAACCTGGACCTTAGGAGCCTCAGTGCAGCATTCCCCCCATCTCACCCGGAAGTGGTTCCTCGGGGCTGGGCCGTCTCCGCGCAGCGCGGGGCTGGGTCACGTGATACGCGGCGCCGGTTTGATGACGTCATCAAGGCCGGAGCGGACAGGTGGGAACGACTTACCGCCACTGAGAGGGCGGGAAACGGGAAATAAATGTGGGGGCACCGGGGGGGACATGGGAAG